AGTCATGCCAGACTAGCATGACAAACCCACACTCTTCCAGACCTAGACATTTTTGCAGTTGATATTCCATAGGGGAGAAAAAAATCCCGGTATTTGTAATCAAACGGGTTCAAACAGGAGTGGTAGATTTTCATGCTTTTCATGTCTTGATAGAATCGGGTATGCTCCCACATTAGATCGGTGATTTTCTTCTCCGATTTTCGCTTTTTTTGCTCCTGGAGATCGGCCTTCTTTTCTTCTGGCGAAGGATCATGAAGCGGCTGCTGTTGCTGCTCTTCTTGCTGCTTCGGTTGTACCGCTTTTGCTTTTTTCGCCTTACTTGCTTCTGGCACCGCGCCATGATTCTTGTAGAGGGGTGGATCATCGCGCCATGGTCCTCGCGGTTGTTCCGTTTCGTCAAGGCTAGAGTCGCCTGCTCCGAAGTCCTTGTTGCCAGAGAAGGCGCTATCTAGAAGGTGCCTCGGCTCTGGCTGGTGGTTTTGGACCTCCTGGTTCCTATCAGCAGCAAGATGCGACGACGAGGCGGGTTCTTGGGTCTTCATCGCGTTCGCGGCGGAGGGCATAGCGTTTCCCTGCTTCATCCCGTAGTTCTTCGCAGTACGACCCATGTGAATATCATGACTTCTCTTGGGCCCACCATCTCCTTCCAAATTTTTAGACGAAGCAGATCTGGAACTTGAGGACACGACGTGGCCCTTCACCTGTTTTCCAGCAGGACCTCCACGTGTGGCCGGCGCGGATGATCGTCGTTGAGAAGGCCTGTTGTTGTGTGCCTCCGAAGATAAATCATCTCCAGCAGACGAGGATACAACCGATGAGGCTTCGTCAATGCCACCAAATCTCTCCTCGTGGTGGTCCCCACATCTTCGCAGCTCCCGACCATCATCTTCCGAATTGCTTCCAGAGGAAGCACGGCTGCGCGCGTATCTAGCCGTCGGATCTTTGTCAGCTGCATCTTCGGAGCTCGTGTCATCTGGATCTACTGGTGCGCGCCGGCCGAGAGAAGCTCGTGATCTTCTCCTTGACGCAGCTGCACCATGAAGATTTGACGCGCTGTAACTTCTGCTGCTGCTGCTGCTTTCACCGCCACCTCTTGAGAGATCGGGATCATCACCTTCAATCAGCCCTCGTGCCGACGGCGCAAGCTGGCTTCTCCTATTTTGGAAAAACAGTTCTGGGCCGGAAGAGCCCCCTTGGCTGCTCGTCTCGCTGGAACTTGACGAGGAGATAGCACTGCTGCTGGTGTCAAGATCACTCGATGTATTTCCAGTTGCCTGAGCTTCGCGTCCTCGTCGTGTGGGTCCAGGAGTCAGGTGCCCCGCCGGCCCCCGCTGTGGTCCCCGCTTGTTACTCTTGTCTGCTGAGGAGGACCCAGCACCACTGGCCTTGCTACTTCGCTTCCCCATTCTGTCGCCGTCGTGCGACGCGGGCAAGCGCGTTGTCTGCACAATAGGTCACGTGTGCCGTATGCCCAGACCACTTCGCAAGCAGCTTTTTAGCACGACTTCTAAATTTGTCTACCTATTGTGCGTGTCTTCGCGAAAAATGACCTCGAACTACATTACAGCACGTGGTCGTCACCCACAACTGTCCGCTGCTCATTCGTTCCACGGTCCACCTTGCTTCCACCAAGGTGGAATAAATACCGCTCCGTCTGCTCGTGACTCTCCAGCGGTCCACCACCAGTGGTTCACGACCAGGACCACCTCAGTGGCGGGCCCCTACTTATGATTGGTCGCCCAGTCCGTCGTCTCGGTCGTGGCTTCCTTCGGAGGTACATATCAAATGTAAAAATGTCTGGGTCTGGAAACTTGTGATGCTAAAATGTGACTGGTGGGCGGACTGCTATACGCAGCCAAGCATGACAAATTTTTCATCTGCTACTATGTTTCGTTTTCCGCATGGCAAATTGCGTTTTTGCATGACAGGCAAGAGGCCATTTTCCTGCTCATGCATTACAGATTTATGAGTCATGCCAGACAAACATGACAAAGCTGCATTCTTCCAGACCCAGACATTTTTACATTTGATAAGGCAGGCGGCGCTGCTACGACAGCTGTCGCGTCCCCAGAACTCGTCGGCTTCGGCTATAATCCGCTCAGGTGTTACAATCTCAAACGTTACAATAGAATATGGAAATCTGTGACGCAAGAGTGCACGATCTAGCCAACTCTCATAGGATTGCGCATGACAAGTCCGGGCGCCCCAAACCCCACTACAAAAATCTGGCGAAATTTGTATTGCAAAAGGTGGAGCGCTGTGCGAGTCTGTCATGTTCATCATGCAACACAAATTCCAAATTCTATTGCAACGTTTGAGATTGTAACGCTTGAGCAGGTCATATCGGCTTCAACTCTGCATACACGATGTGCGTGTACCGCTCGGCCTCTATCGTAAGGAAAAATCCCCCCTCCCCATATCGAAAAGGCACGCCTCAGAGAATTTGCGATGCTTATTTGTGACCAGAAATCGTGTCCGTCTTGCAAGAAAGCAACGGATAGGCTCCGCCCCATTATGGAGGCGATTTGCAATGCTGTTGAACCTACAGCATAGACGTTCCTCGTGCTAAGTGCCTAGGCCAAAACCTCTCTACATTGGCATGATATGGGCCTGCAGTCTGCTACTGCAAGACAAATCTGATTTGTGCTGCCCCCTGTCATGCTGAAGATGCAACGCTTTCCCACGCCAACCAGCACTATAGTCCGCATCTTTTCTATTCTAGCATGACAAAGCTGATTTGTGACCACAAATCTGCATCACAAATTTCTAGTTTGAGTATGGGGTGGGGGGATTTTTCCTTTTGATAGTAGGTTCCGAATTCCTCGTCCGACAAAGGCCGCTTTTTTATGGAAGCGTCAGGTTTAAAATTGACAAAGGTGAAATGATTTGTCATGCATAAAATGGATACCAATTGGGAGCCCAATTTCCAAGCATCGCCCGGTCCGTCGTCTCGGTCGTGGCTTCCTTCGGAGGTAAAAAAAGCAGCTTGATGGTGTCGGTTCTTAAGGTAATGTCGCATGAGGAATCATGTAACAGCTGAGAATGTAACAATTGAGAACGCCATAGAGGATACTGTGCTCCACTCTGGAGACGTCTGGTTTGACAATCCGGCGCAAAGCAGTACTCAGCCCTACTTTCCGACGCCAAAGCTTTTCTACTTTACCTCGACTACAGTCTGTATGGATGTGTCAGGATCGAAATCGTCACAGTTGAAATAGTTTGTCATGCATATTAAAACCGCTAGCGATACCATTACCAGTCGGAAGTAGCCCACTCAATATGAAGCAGCGCGTGACAAATTTTCCGAGCGCCGGAATCTAATGCGTCACGCTGTTGGGGCACGGAAGCCTGCTTTTGTCATGCTGCTTTAGCAGCTTCATTTCAAACCCTAAACAGGCTCATAATCGGCCTCACTTGCCATCCCGGCAAGACAAGCACTTCCTGCCCGCATTTTATGCATAGCAAATCATGATTTTAAGTTTGTCGATTTCAGACCTGACGCTTCCATAGTCTGCGGCACGGACAAGTGGCTGACGACCGACGAGTCGAAAAAATGTGCGAGCGGCACTTGCGTATGGATTGCAAAAATGTCTGGGTCTGGAAAAGTGTAAACTTGTCATGCAGATTTTCCATGACCCATGAGGTCTGGAATGCGGGACTTGGCATGACAGAATCTGCGAGGTCTCTGCCATGCCTATCCTGCATGAGAAACTCCCTTCCAACTTGGTCAAAAGTGGACAGCTTTTGGCTCTCATGCAACACAGATTTTTGCATGCTTCAGATTTACCATGACAAGTTGCCGCCTTCCAGACCCAGACATTTTTGCATTTGATATTGCGCGGCTAGTGACAAGAACACCTGCTGCGACACGCCCGCCTGCACGGAGCCCTCGAATGAGGAAAAGTACGGCTACAAGCTGGTAAAGCCCCTCTCGGGCACCGACAAGCCCCGTAGCCGCGCAGACTACCGGTCGGGATCCGAGTTATCCAAGAAAAAAACGTTGTTAGTGTAAATTTGTGATGCGCAAGAACATGCATAGATGATTGCGTCTGTCATGCTTGGCATGCGTCGCAGGGTCCCTTAAAGGGCGTTTTCGCGTACTATCTGCGCATGACAGGTTTTTGCTGTCATGCCAGACAAACTTGTAATGCTGTTCCTCCAAAAAAGTTACATCTACAATGTTTTTTTCTTGGATCCGAGCTCGCCCGGTCCGTCGTCTCGGTCGTGGCTTCCTTCGGAGGTACTGTCTCGGCCAGCCGATGCCTTCTGGCCACCAAAACGGAACCTTTCAGCTCGTGGTCCTCCTTCATTCTCCTCGCAGGGGTGCTTTTATTCTTCTACTTCATGCTGCGAGAAGTAGTCTGAAAATGATAAATGAAGCTTGCTCGTCAACATCCTGCTCCTGCCCAGAAGAGCAGCTGCGCAGTCACTTGCTGCACGCTCAGATGCCGCCGCGCGGCTTCGTTTCGTTTCATCGTCTTCACATGTGCGGCAGCGCGTTTGCGAGTTGGGAAAAAATGAGGAGATAAGCCGCAAACTCGTGAATCGAATCGCGGAAAAATGTGAATGTGAAATAAGTTAAGAAACAAGAAATGAAGACGGACCGAGCCAGGATTTTACTATTCATTTGGCGACGACAATAAGAAATAGGCGGGGATATTTCGGAACAAACATAAGCGAAAGACCATTTAAAACGTTGACAAGTCAAAAAAACGAAATAATAGCAGAATGGAAAATAAATATGCACGAGCAGCAAACGTCGTCGTCTGGTGTGTCCTAAAAAATGTCAAATCTGATTCGCAACTTGTTTCAAGCTACGGCTATCTTATCATGGGCCAACGCCAATTCAAACGAATTCCTGTTTTTCACCTTCATTGTTCTGAATAGAAACAATTTAAGTTCGCGGTCACGACCATGTGGCCTCCAACAACTCTGTTAGTTTATTACTTCCCCGCGGCCTACTTCACACGGACCTGCAGCGTTTGATCTTTTTCAACAACGTCTTCTCCTGGTTCACAATACTGAGACTGGCAAAATATCAACCTGCTTTGGGCCTTGCCACAATCAACGGGTCTAGTGCCACAACACCAGCAAGGGGGTGCTCTTTCGAAAATTAAGTATAATCTTTTGATCGATGGCGTCTTGCGCATCACTCCAGGACCCAAAGGAGTCCAAGACCAAGTCCCACTTGTTCTCTTTGTGAAGAAGTAGAGTCCACCCTATTGATGTTCTACTCCTGCTTCTGAAGATGAACTACTTTTACCGGATGAAATGAGGAACATGAGTTGCGCTCGACAAGAACTTTACGCTGCGATGGAACAAGGGTGGTCAGATGAATCGACTGGCCGCTCTACTACTTAAAGCTAGCTGCTCGACGCTCATACTTGATCTTCAATGGAAAAAAACGAGAAATTTATTTTACGCGCGACCTTTTACTGGTACAAAGACCACGATAGAGAATGTTCGGCCTCAGGGATGCAGACCGTCACTTCGTTGCAGAGAATAAAAGGCACAAGGGGGGACTGCGTGCCATGATCAGGGTCGGGAATGTGATGTCATCAAGCAAAGTATTCTTTTAATTAAATCTTCATTGGACGAGGTCGTTATAAATCTTGTCAAAAATCAAAAAAAAATCTTTATTAAGTCGTGCTAGAAATATAAAAAAAACGCACAACAACACGGAAAAACACTTTTTCTTTTACTGAGGAAAGAGGACTACATGGGAAAAATTAGCGGGTACTCCGAAGATGAAAAGTTGAGAGCTCTAGCTCAAAGTCAAACCAACACCAACTACACGGAAGAAGAAACAAAAATAAGTCTTGCGTGTGCGAGTTTTTCGTGTGGTTTTTGTTGTTATACCGACACGAAACTTGACTGTGCAGTGTTCCCCGCCTGTTTCTTCTTGTTGTTGAGGAATGCTTTGACTTTTTGCTCATAATCATCGCCCAATTCCTTCTTCAGCTTCTCCCAGTTCGCATCGACTTGCTTCTGAAGCTTCGCTTTTTCTTCATCTCCTTGCGCCGCAGCCGCCTGTTGTGTCAGAGCGAAATGGTTTTCCAAAAGCTGGGTCTCTTTGTCCGTGCTTTTTCCTCCTCCCTTGCTGCCGCCGTACTATGCATTGCAAAGAGCAGGTATCGCACGAGTAGGCTGGATGTTCGCATGACAAATTGTTTCGCAAAAATGTTGTCCTTTCTCGGCCGCAGAGATGAAACTAGGTAGGGTAGTAAAAAAGTAGATCTGTTACGCTAGTATATACCACCCCTGCTGTACTAAATATATGCGATCCACTAACATTTGCACGGGATACGCCGCAGTCGTCACACTTCTTCATCCGTTGTCGTCCTTGCAGAAAGTGGATCCAGCGGAAAAAAAGTCTAGGGGAAGTCATAGCTACACTTTCCACACTTCTCCTTTTAGTTCTTCATCTGTTCTTTTCAAGTAGTATACCTCCTAGTACACTGATGTACGTATGTGCATGCAAGAAGCCGCACCACAATTCTTTATTTTATCCCCAGGAAGCAGGAAATGCACAGTAATTTGTAAAATTTTGCCATGCAGAATAGAATAGCGATGTTGTGACCTAGTTTTTTTTTTTCGGCGGATATCCCTGGTGTCCAGTGCGAAGGCCTGGTCGGAAAGGAGAGCCGCACTTGCGCTGAGGTACAACATTTTCTTGCAGCTGCGCATCATGGTGACGGTGTAATGATGAAAACAAGCAAATAAAGTCTGCTTCTACGAGTTGTGTTGCTAGTTTTGCGTCAGGGCCGCGCTGCGACTTTTTTCCTTTTGCTTTTCGGGTTTGGTTGTAAGTAGAAGTACGATATGGGATGAAATTGAAAGCAATGAAATGTAAATCTTAATCTTTTCGATGCAGCGGGTTCTTAAAAGTCCACGTTGGATACGTTCAGTCACCCACACGAAGTTAGTAGAGAGGCAACTATGGGTCGTCAAGTTACCTGTGAAAGTTATAGAAGAAAGATCCTTCTGAAAATTATAAACCGATATTTTTTTTTTAACATGTAACGAGTGATGTGCACAAGAGTCAGCAAATGTCAACATGTGTTTGGACGACACCGAGAATCAGGATTGATGTCACCGACTTTTTTACTGTTGACGCAGAAGTTGTTCGGACGATTGCGGTCTGTCGAGCACGAGTATTACTGTACCGATAGTACTCACCTGCATGGAAGAGGTCACTAGTACGCTTACGCTCACCGACAGCATACATAAATTCCTAAAGCGAAAGCGTTCTTCGCACAACCGACAAGAAAAACGACTCAACAAGTGGTATTCTCAACTGTAGTCAAGGGACGAGACCACTGAGAGAAGGACCGAATTACAATTAAGTGCTTATCTTTGAAGCAGAGCCAAGAACCGAAGATGCAGATCGATGTGACGTCGAAAGTCACGAAATACTTGGAGAGACGAGCTAAAATAAATTACAGAGGCCTCTTCCATATCACCGAAGGGGCAAGGCGAGACGATGAGCAAACCAATTATGGGCGACTTTTCCCTAGTGCACAGTGGTCGGGGTAGTTGCTGGAGTCTCGAAGACTCGCGCAAAAAAGTTTTTATTGCTCTTTTTTTCCTTTCTGGTGCCTCGTCAACAAACATCGAGAGGAATACTGTTCTCGATTTTGTTTGTAGATTTGAATTTGTAATATTAATATTTTCATATAGCAGGAGCGGCAGCCAGGCGTTTTCATTTTTTGTATTTGGACCGCAACGAGTACGAGTGCGGTTTGAAAGTTGTCCGATTTAGGTTTATTGAGTACTGCCAGGCTTGATTCCACTGTGCAACAAGTCCGTGTAGTGCACGAAGTTACAACTAGTTGAAATCGAAGCAGCGCAACTCCATGATCATCATCTTTCTAGCTGATTTTTGTATCCATTCATTGAATAATTATCGTCTCCAACATTTATTCGTTTTCCGACGGCCACACTTGTTATTTTTTCTTCCAGAGAAGGGCTTTTAAAAAAAAACCCTCTGCCTCTAGTAGAAGAAAAGAAAAACCTTCAGTTCATCGCCCCGCCGCCCGTTGCCCCGCCAGGACCATCCTTATTGTGAATAATATCGGCTGCGGCCCTGATGTATAAAGTGCAAATATAATGTCTGGGTCTGGAAGAGTTCTGCCCTTGTTTGCCATGCATCTTTTGGATAGTCTGTAATTATGCACGCAAAAGCATAAAAATACAGGTTTTGCGCAGGAGGCCTTCTGAAGATGTCTACCCTGCATCAGAAGTTCCCTATTTATTGCGTAGCAAAAACATCATCATCAAGTGAGCAGCCTTTCATCTTTGGCGCTCATGCAATACAAATTTTTGCCTTTTCCATAATCCGCATCACAAGTTCCAACCTTGTTCATCCAGACCCAAGCATTATATTTGCAATGCGTACAATGGGCACCCCGAACCAGCTAATCCACGTGGCTTCGAAGCAGAAAACTGCGATCGCCGCGCAAATCACGTAGAAGTATCATGTGCAAAAGCATCGCAAACTTGTAGTAATTGCAACTATGCATGACAAATCTGGATTCTTAGCTACGTCAGCATTACAAATTGAATTTTTCCTATTTGAGAAAATTTGTAATGCAATTTATACTACGTATGATGCTTTTGCAATGCATAAACACAAAAACAACACTAAACCAATCGCCAAAATTGCGATCAAGATCCAGAACAGAACGCTGCCCCACCAGCAGGTGCAGAGGCAGTGCTTTTCCGGCTGTTCTACTTCCTCGTTTTCAACAACCACATTGACCTGGTGTTGGGCGACGGGCTGCTGGCCTTGTTCGTAAGTGTAGTACACGTACTGTGGCTGGTCCTGGTGGTGTAGTTGCTGAGTGGTGTTTGCCGTGTTTTGATGTCGCTCATCTGGATAAACAAGGAGCAACTGATTCTCCTCGTCCGCTTCAAGATTTTCATGTGTGGCGCCACCCGCTGCGAGGTGTTCTTTGTAGTACTGGTTATCTCGGTGGTGGACAGCAGTGACGATCACTGGACTGCCAAGAACGGGAGAGGAGGACGAGGACGGCATCTTTTATCTTTTTTGCTTTGTACTAATATGGTACAAAGGAGATGGGTCAGGAGATGGGTCGTCAATTTTTTTCTGCAAGTTGGGATTTGCAGGAAGAAGAAGTCAAAGGACAGGGAAGAGAATGCACTTATAATAGAAAGAACTTTTGCGATTCAGATGCTTGAATACGGATGCAACTAAACTTCTTTTTACTCCGATTCAATATAATCTTTTCTTCGAGTCAGTTGTTTCTCCTAGAAGTACTTGTTCTACTCAAGCTCTTTTGTCAAGAGGGAATATTTTTGGATGCTGTGTGGAAGGACCTGTTTAGTGATATTTTATTCCGCGGGAGGAAAAATCTTCACGACACTTAATCTGATCAGTGCTTTATCTCATTCTCTTTTTTTTTGTTCACGAGAGGCAGACCTTATACACATGTTTAATACATCAAGTGTCCTCGTCCCTCTCGTGCTTTTGATACAAGGGAATTGCTGACCATGATCTTCTCGTGCTCAATTTTCAACCGACATCTTCGACTTCACATATGTGTTGACCACAGCACTTTAGAAGAGGCACTTGCCCTCCATCGAGGACCAGGTTGATTATTCGTGGGCGAAATCGTACAACAAACTAAGTAAGTACAACATAATGAAACCGACAGTGACGGGCTGCATCTCTAGCGCGGATCCGATTCGTGGTCTCTGCAGCATTTATTTTCGGGATCGTTTTTTCAAATAAAAAGTTCCATGATCGTTCATCTGGTGAGCTCAAAAGCATGTAGAATGCTGTAGACCGACACACACGCGTCTCGACAAGGTGGAACAGAGCGAGCTGCATCATCCTCACGTCATTGGAGGCGATTTTCGGCATATTATGCTCGAGTGGTAATGGTAAAGCTCTGCCATGCAGGAAGGTCATGCTGTAAGCAATGAGTGCATGTTGTTGCGATGAACGTCCGGCCGCGGCCCCGGTGGATCGTTTCCATTTAGGTGGCAAAAAATCCATATCAAAAGTAAAAATGTCTGGGTCTGGAAACTTGTGATGCTGGGTGGCGTCTCATCATGAGGCTACAAATAGTGGCTCAGCATGACAAGTTTCTGAGCTCCTAGGTGTTGCCTATTCTGCATGACAAACTGCGGCTCTGCATCACAGAAAAGCGGAGCTCTTGGGTAACGTGCGTGACAGATTTAAGAGTCATGCCAGACAAGCATGACAAACTACATGAACTCTTCCAGACCCAGAAGTCCTTTGCAGCCATCTTCGAATAGTCGAAACCAGGTTGATCCTCAACATCCGTGGGCGAAATACAAACAACATGCTTGTTTAATTCGGAACAATAAACCGAGACTGATAAAGGAGCGATGCAGATTGGATCTTAAGTAGATCAAGAAACCGACAGCGATGCGCATCTGTAGTGGGGATCCGATTTTTCGTGGCCTCTGTAGCATTTATTTTCGGGATCGTTTCTTCATCACATTCACAGATATAATTTCGGCGACCTGAAAAATAGCATGTAGAATGCAGTAGACCGACGCACACGCGTTTCGAGTGAAGACTTTCAACACGCTCGAGTTTGTGCACAAGCTTGCAGAGTCGTCGAAAGAGGTTTTTCGTACATAATGTTAATGCGGCGTATCTTGTCTCCTCTGTCTTGCTCTTCCTCCCTGCAATCTAGGGAACACGAATCAAAAAGAGCAACACGAAATAAGCGATGCGACGACAGCTAGGCTATCTGGCGTGTTGTTTATTTTTGCCGGGTCGGCATCGGAAAGCTTAAGTTCTCATAGGTGGTCCAGACAGATGACCTAGTAGCGGGCGTACGCAATAAGACCCCTCAAGGTCGCATATTACGCAAGAACGAATTTCTTCGGAACTTCTTCAAACTTCTTCTTTTGTATTTGTTTCGCCAAAAAAACATCAAATCAAAACCCTCTAACAGTAAACGCCTCCCGAACCACATCCATTTTGTTTCCAGCTTCCGACTGTTCTTCTTCCGTTCCCGAAGCCGCACTACCAGAAGAACCTCCAGCACCAGAAGCACTTCTTGCTCCGGTCGCTTTCGTTCTCTGTTTCATCTTCCCGCCCGACGACGACGCTGTTGAAGAAGATAACAGCTGCAGCTGCTCGCTGCTAATTCCGAATTCCTTCTTCCACTTCCGTACCAGGGCCTCGGCGTTCACCTATGAGACGAAAATAAGTGTTACAGTTACACACTTGTTGTCAATTCAGCAACACAAATTTCTCTGCATATTGAGGAAGAAAAGTTGCATTGCAGAAATCCTACGGGAAAAGACCACGTATGGAACAACGATCCTTCTATGCATATCCGGCATGAAAGAGCTTGTCTGTCTTGCTATGCCTGCAACACAATGATGTACTGTTCACTCTGGTTGTTTTCTTGCGATATCACCAAACCAATGATCACTTCCGACGCCTTCGGCATTTTCCGCTGTTCCATCAGTTGTTGGATATGCATTGCAAATGTGTCTGGGTCTGGAAGATTCTGAGACTTGATGTCATGCACGTTTTGCATGAGCCATGATGTCAGTGATGCATGCTCTAGCATCACAGATTTTCATTTTTTGCGGGTTTCTTGCTGCCTATTCCGCATGACAAATACCCTCTCCACGCAGAAAAAATTGCATTCCCTTCGCTGCAGCAATACAGATTTCTTTGGAATCCTAGTTTAGCATCACAAGTTCGGTGGATTCTTCCAGACCCAGACATACTTGCATTTCATATTGGACGGCCAGGGACAAAAACCTCGTCTCTTCCTTCTCCTCCCTCCCCACGGTGAGTAGCCCGGTAATTTCATCCCGCTGGTTCACGTAGAAAACGGAAAACTTCATGCTGTCAATGTCGCCTTCGACAACCGAATGCTCTAGCGTGTCGACATGCCCGATAAATTCGATTTTTTTGTTGAAAATCCGGGTAGTGAAATACGGAATGTCGTTGATGTATGGAATTTTGTTCATCATGGGGAGTCGTCCTTGGGGAGTTTCAGAACTTCGAGGAGCTGGTGCGGGGGGACTAGTACCTCCGGATGAATCCGATGACGCGCCGCTGGAGGCTTTTTTCTTTTTCTTCATCTTCTCTTCTTTTTCCTTCCGCAACTTCGCCAAGTCCCCAACCATGTTCAGTGCGGCAACTTATCCAACAAAAAAAAGATTGCAAGGCGTAGGAGCTTTATCGTGAAGATGTGCAACATGCAAGACGATTGCGTCTACTCTCCTGCTGGTCATGCTCTGCAGGGCGGCCCGTTCACGCGGGGTCTCTTTTACGTAGTCGTATCTGCGCCGGATCATGACCACAAGTCTTTCCTGTCTGTCACGCCAAAAAGATTTGTATAAATGCTCTTTCGCAAAAAAAGGTACTACACCTACTACCTCCATCGTTTTTTCTTGCATACGACTCTTCCCTGATCCACTGCGGTGTTCCATTGCGTTGCCCGTTGGTATTTCGACGTTCTCACGTCCGGGTAGGTCGCCACGTCTCCAGCAGCGAAAATGTCTCCAGCACTTGAAGACGAATCTTCTGCTTCGCCCACAATGGAGAAGCCTGAGGTATTTTCATCAAAGTTGGAAAAGCCTAGTTTGATTTTCATTCTGATCAGACGTGAAGGTAGTTGTGAACCTCTCTGTCTCGTCTTCTATGACACGACCACATGGATAATTTACGGCAGTAGACCTCTAAGTTGTACAACAAGCAGAAACGCAAACGAGCATCGTTTTTATTTTCAATCATACCGCTGCAGTTCAGGAAGGGATCACACAGGAGGGACCCATCCTATACATTGCAAAAGTGTCTGGGTCTGGAGGGTTACAACTTGTGATGCTGTCCTTGGAACATAAAAAGATCTGTATTGCATCACTAGCAAGAGGAGCCCAGCTTCTGCTGCACGGAGCAGGCATTTGCGTTTGCCATGCGGATTAGGCATAAGAAAGCCCCCTAAATAAAGTCTGCGATGCTAGGTCATGCATCACAGGCGTCATGGGTCATACAAAATATGCATGACAAACCTTTGAATCTTCCAGACCCAGACATATTTGCATTTGATACATCCCTCGCTTTCGCCACACTCCCTCCCGGAGTAATCATGGGCACCGTGTTGCCGACCAAGTTCCCGACGCACATAATCACGAAGTCGCAGGGTAAGACGTCCTATGCAAAAACGTCCCCACTCCATAGTCAAGTTCTTGGGAAATCTGCAACACAAATCTCGAGGTTTTGTGAGTTGTGCATGACAACAAGTTCCCATCTGCAGTGTGATGGTGTTTAGCAAGGGAGGCCGCATGAGAGAGCCATTCTCTCGTCCTGTTTACAGCATTACAAATGCCAGAACACGATTGAAAAAGGAAATGCGTCTCATGGAGATGCGCATTTTGTCATTGCGCATGTGCATGACAACTATGCGGTTGGGGACGTTTATTTTACAAATGATATAAGACGTCCCCCGTGTCCAGCTCCACGGCGTTTACCATCCTATGGGGTTCTCAGCTGTTACACTCTCAACTGTTACATGATTTGTCATGCAAGAACACTATCACTCTTCATGCGATCAAGCCTTCTCAGCATGACAACTTCTCGACGCGCTAAATAGCACTACAATCCGTCCCAAACCTGTAATGCAGAAGGCGCAGTCTTCCTCCGGTCACTTTTGCCATTCTTGCATTACAAATTCATGTAACGTTTGAGAATGTAACGTTTGAGAACGCCATACATCCCGATGCCGCCCTTAAACTGCTTCACCGTCGTATTTCCAAAGTACAAGACTTTGTTCATCGCCAGGTGCTTCGCCAGCCCGGCACTATGAAAGTGCACAACTCGAACTCCCCCTCCCCCTCATTTGTCATGCAAAATATCCAATCCACCCTTTGTGTTGTCTCTTGGCACAGTTTGCATGACAAGTTCTCGAAGCCCAAATAGCACGGCACTCCAGTGCAAATTTGTCATGGAAAACCGGCACTCTTGCAGATGCTTGTATTGCCGTTCATGCAATACAAATGAGGGGGAGGGGGAGTTGTGCACTCTCATAGGCACCCACCCGTTTCCCGAACCGTTTCTCGAAGGGGAGCGGGGCCTTGTCCAACATCGTCTATCCTGTGCAAAAGTATCGTACTCGTACTAAAATCGCATTCATGCATATACAAATCTCGATCGCAAGGTAAATCCGCATTACAAATCTCACTTTTCATGCCAAGGAAATTTGTCATGCGATTCATACTACTACGATGCTTTTGCAATGCATATCGTCACTTGGCAGGCAATGTCCTCCCCTCCCGTGAGAAGATTCGCTAATTCCATGCCCGTGACGCCGCCCCCAACGATGATGCACTTTTTTCCGTTTCTGGTCAGGTTGGAATTACTGTTTTTCGCGGTTTTTGAAGTAGATGCGATACCACTACCGGTGGAGGAGACGAGGTTAATTTGTTTCATCAAGTTGTCAAAGTCTTTTTTCGTGCGGTACGTAAACACGTTCGCCATGTTCTGCGCCCCGGGAACAAAAACGGCCTTCGGACTGGACCCGGTGGAAATCAGAAGCTTGTCGAACTTCAAGTCTTGCTTGTTCAGAATGTTCTTCTCATCTGCGAGAATTTTGTTCTTCTTCCCAAATTTCGACGTCGATTGGAAATACACCAGGTTTTTTTCCTATCCTGTGCAAAAGTATCGTACTCGTACTAATTGCGTTTATGCATCAAAAAGCTTTTTCTTAGAGGCAAATCCGCAATACAAATTGAATTTGTAATGCTAAGTCAATTTGTGATGCAACTTATACTAGTACGATGTTTTTGCATTGCATATCTCCCCGTCAATCTTGGTGACCTCGGTTTCGTGGAAAAAGTCCACTTCGTACTTGTCTATCAAATGCAAAAATGTCTGGGTCTGGAAGATTTCGAGATTTGTCATTCATCTCGCGGACAAGCACATAGTCTGGAATGCACACAGAAGCATCAGAGATTTTGCGAGACCCTCCTCATGGCTATTCCGCATGAGAAATCCGCCTTTTGCCCAGCAAGACTTGGGCAACTTTTGGCGTTCCTGCAATACAAATTTTTTTGGGCTCGAGACATAGCATGACAAGTTGCGATCTTCCAGACCCTCCAGACATAATTGCAGTACATATTGTCGAAAAAGGATTGAAACCGCTGCTTTGACGCGGTTTCGAACAGCTCCGCGTCCTTGCTCAGCAGCGCCCGGTATCAAATGCAAAAATGTCTGTCATGCAGATTTTCCATGACTCATAACTCCCGTAATGCATGCCGTAGCATCACAGATTTTTAGACGGCTTGCTGATGCCTACTCCGCATGAGAAATGCCCTCTCCACCGCGTAGCACAAAGTGGACTCCTCTTACTGGTCATGCAATACAGAGTTTTCTAGAATCCAGAAATAGCATCACAAGTTGCAACCCTCCAGACCCAGACATATTTGCATTTGATACCCGGAAAATCGGGTAGTCCGACCCGGGCTCCTTGGAGATCAGGACAATCCGATATTACAGTGAAAAATGCCCCCACCCCCAGCTTGGCAGCATTTGTATTGCAAACCTTTCCAACAGAAGCATTCGCATTCCCCGTCTTGCATATCTCAGCATCACAAATTTTCCATGCTGAATAGGTCAAATTTGTGTTGCGAAGTAGCCCTACAGCAGCCGGATCTGTTATGCACAAGGCACATTGCGCACCCTGCTTCTGCATCGGAAACGCTCGCAATCCTTTTATGCAAGACAGAAAGCTTTCATTTGAAAACTTTGCATGACAAACTTCTGCAAATAATTCCGGGGTGGGGGCATTTTTCAGTGTAATATCCGACCGGTGAACTTCGCCTCGGTGCGAAGGGTCTCGACGGCGGATAAGCCCGCAGCGCCAGAGCCGATGATCGCGATGGTTTCGTTGTTGGAGAGGTCGCGCTTCGTGATGATCTGTTCATTCGCGGGAGGTGAGCAACCTGCTCCAGCACCTGCGGAATCCGAATCATCATGCAACGTCGCTGCACGACAAACAAAAGCGTCACGTGGTTCTGGTAAGCGCAGCAAGCTGCTTCTGCTCTTCGAAAACTCAAACTGGTACTCCTCTTCAAAAGTCTTGGCGTTAATACCCAAAGCTGCGCTGCTTGTACTATTTGAGGTGTCGTGAACGAATTTTGAAGTTGCGGAAGATGCTGTGTTTGAGCTCTTGCGGTCAACGGGCTGTGGTTGAAGGTGGTTATCTGAAGAAAAAGGATCCGCATTCGGATCGTCTGTGATTGCCCCGATAATTTTTCCGGCCACACCTGGTCGGCCTGCTGCGTCGGTTCGTTCAGCTTGCAGTGGAGGGGGATATGGTGTAGATGCTACACCAGCATTTTTCAGAAATTCGTCCCGCTCTTTTTTCGCAGCTACGTCTGTTGCTGCTGGGTTGTTGTTCTGCTGCAATAAATGCGATCCACCGCCCCCACCACCGGCCTCGGCAAGCAACGTTGGGTTGACTGGCCCAGCAGTCGCACTAGCTCCAGCAGTCGAAGTCGGCTGTTGTTCGCAGAACACGGGTTTATTTTGCCTCATGAAAGAACCCGTTCCTGCTCCTGCTGCAGGGCTAGAACTTAGTTGGCTAGTGCGGCCATTGTCCACTTCACAACTTCTGCGCCCTGTTAACCAAGCCCCCGCTCCGGCGAGAGCCGCCACGGCGGGGGTAGACGAAAGGTGCCGACCCCCGGGAAACGAAGACGGAAACGACCGAAAAGGGATCGGCATTTTGACGTTCCACCTCTTTAGGAATCTAGTTGTAGTTCTAGTACTCGTCGCTCGTTGTAATGCATATGTTGGCCGCGTCCCTCTGTGCCTTAGAAAACAAATTATAATTCTACAGTAAAAACATAAAGTTACAACATACAAGCATGCACAGAAAAAAACACTTGATGCCCTCATCAATTAGACACTTCTTCTGCCCTCCTTCGTTTCTTTAAAATTGAATACAGAGAAGAAGCAAAGATGCGCTCGAAAGAATTGTACACTCCTGGCTTGTCCCGTCGTTCCGTGATTAGTACTTCCAGTGGTCACAGAGCGAGGGAACAACATGGAAAAAATAATCTGCACGGAGTCAGCGTTGTAGTACCTGTGACGCCAGTATAGGCCTGCTGCACGACGCAAACGTTGTGTTTGAGTTTGAAAATGATGTATGAAAGCAACGTGTATTGTACAGCACATAGCGCCGCCTTATTTTTCAATTTGTCTGCCTAAGATGTTGTCGCCCGTTGGTGAGGCCGCGACCGCCACATTAGTCAATTGCACTCTACGCCAGCAGATATCCGGTGGCCTTCTCTGCACCTAATAAAATCATGCTAGACGAACTCGAACTCCTAGAAGAAAGACCTCTTTGTAATATCATGTGAAAATTCCAAATTTTGTGTGAACAAGCTACAAATAGAAATAAACAAGCTACTGCTGTTCTTAATAAAACTGCGAGAAATAACTACAGAGACTGAAACTTTTACTTTACAGCTTACAGTGTTCGCGTTTAGTACGCGAGACTTCTACTCAAAATGAGGAGTCTATTTGAGGAACTTCACCGTGAAGAACCTCTTGATTTCAATTTCAGAACAAATTCTTTCCTTTCTTCGACTTCATTGTGCGAGACCCCCGAGCGGCGGGGCGGGGGCCTCAGCTCGCTGCGCGCGTTGCGCCCGGATGGCGTCGACCCGCTCGCGGTAGACGCCATGATAGAGAAACTATTCTATAACAAGCTGCACCATGATAGCTGTATTGGTCCACCTATTCGATGCTTTAATGCTATCTTTTCTACTGATACAGAACACGAAACCGAAGCGGCACACTGTAAAATTTCTTGAACGCAAACGCATCACATGGGACTGGGAGCAAGCCTACGTCGCGCGATGAAGAAAAATAAATATGGATGAAACACAAAAAAATTTCGCCATAATGAGCTGTAGAAAATGAAGGAGCAATAGAAGAGAAACGAGTAACTCATCAAAGTTAATTTCCAATCATGAGCATCTACTGTACTGCAATCTGTACTTTACCTGTAGAGCAACGCAGTGGTAGAACTGAAGAAGGTCGTTCGCATTCGATAAAATTCAAGTGTATGTAAGTTGACAAATTTAAGGTAATCGTAGAAGTACTGTTGAAAGATAGCAAAGGCAGCCGACGTCGAGATGAAAGTCGACTGCCGGTTGGTAGTAGAACGAGTAGCACTACTTCTGGAAGTACTTAACTGTGTGATGAATGACAATATTGACAAAAATAAAATGAGAAGTAGTAGTAGTTGCTGTGTTTATTTCACTTTGGAAGATAGCTTAACGATCATGTGGTTGTCCTTCGAATCGCAGCTGCGTACTGCAGTTAGAAGTGTTAGAATACATCTAATGCGTGACACATCTAGGACTAGTAAAGCTGCGAAACTCAAACTCCTGGAGGTGGAGACTCCAACGACCAGAAATTAGTTTACGAATACCTATCATTTAAAAAGTTCTTTTCCAGTACCAGCACCGACACTGTGATTCGGTCCTGTCGTAGTTCCACCAGCAGTCGCACCGCCCCCCGGCGCTGCTCTCGGGGACGAGTTGTACCAAGTTTTCTGCTGTATACAGTGCAAAAGTATCGTACTCGCACTGATTGCGTTTGTGCAGTCTTTTTCTCAAGGCAAATCCGCATTACAAATTTAATCTGTACTGCTAAGTCAATTTGTAATGCAATTTATACTAGTACGATGCTTTTGCAATGCATATGCTGCATCACAGCCCGATTCGGGTTCCTCGGGGATGAGTTTGTGTGATTCACAATCATCCGCCCACTGTTACTCAGCCCCGTCGTGCTACTACCAATGGTAGCATTAAGATTCGTCTGCAGAGCGGATCTTGTCGTAGTCATCTGAGCGTGAGGATGAACAGCATGATGTGCCGGATGATGCTGGTGCTGGTGCGCTATCAAATGCAAATATGTTGTCCGGGTTTTGACGAAACCTATCGTGATGGTAAAGTAGAATTGCGCATGATTGCCACACTCGCAATTCCAATTGTCAATATTTTGCTGCTCATGCAACACAGATTGATTTCGAGGAATGCGAGACACGCACTACAAGTTCCACCTTTCCAGACCAACACGTATTCGCATTTGATATGCGCCCCGGCGACCTGATGTTGTACCTGTTGCATCTGTATCCTGCGCAAACGTATCGTAGTTGTAATCGCAGTCATAACGCATTACAAATCTCCATCCCAAGTCAAAACAGCATGACAGACTCCACTTCGTCATGCTAAACCAATTTGCAATGCAATTACCACTAAAAGCACTTTTGCAATCCATAATCTGGTGCGCTAGAACGGCATGTGGATGAACAGACACGTGGCCGGACTGCGCCAAGCCAGAATGTTGGTGAAACAGCCGCCCCGTGCGTGCGGCGTTGGTCGAAACAGAACCGGGTTGATGGTGCTGATGAGGTGGACCAAGACTAGTTGCACTACCTCCTGGTTGATAATTGTGCGACGAGACAACTCCTTGCTGATGAAGGTGTTGGCTGAGCATCTGCCCATTAGAAGTAGTTCCAACATTGCTATCCCACGAAAAAACTGCTTCACTGTGATGACTTTGCAAGATCTGCATCACAAGTTTGCTACACATGACACTGCAAATTTGTCATGCGCGCTTTCCAAGGGAAAACACGCTTGCAAATCCAATGCCTTGCAGGTGTAGCAAGACAAAGAGTTCTGTGTTCCATTTTCTGCATCACAAGTTCACAGTGAAACATTTTCTCAGGATAATTGCTCTCCCCATTTCCGTCGATTCCGCTCCCCGTTAAAGCCCTGCGCAACGCGCTCAACAGCATGCCGTCATCGTGTTGCGCGGTCTGTTATCAAATGCATGTATGTTGTCTGGGTCCGGAAGATTACCACCAGGTTCGTGATGCATGCTTTGCATGACCCATGACGCCTGTAGTACATTACTATAGCATCACAGATTTTTGGAAGGCTTCCTGGTGATGCCTATCCGGCATGAGAAATGCCCTCGTCTCGTCCGCGTAGCACAACAAGCTGGACTCCTTTACTTGCTGGTCATGCAATACATATTTTTTTAGAATACAAAGACAGCATGACAAGTTGCATCCGTCCAGACCGAGGCATATTTGCGATCCATATCTGTAACCAACTGGCCCCCGTACTGTTGGAAACGAGTTTCGTATCCAAGAAAAAAACTGTGTTCTTAGTGTAGGTCTTTTGGAAAAACAGCATCACAGGTTTGTCTGTCATGACAGGAAAAACTTGTCACGCGCAGATAGGACGGGAAAACACGTAGGAAGCGAGCCTACCATGCTTGTGGAGCATGACAGGCGTAACTGTTTTGCATTTTCTGCATCACAGAATTACACTTACACAGCTTTTTTCTTGCATATTTCGAAACCGGCTGCCCGGGCTGCCGGACGTGCGGAAGTGGCTGTGCGCCGGCGCCCATGGTCGACCACATGGTCCGCAACGTTATCAACTGTAAAAACGTCTGGGTCTGGAAGATTGCAACTTCTGATGCTGTCTCTGCACGATACAAAAATCTGTATTGCATGACCACCAAGAGGACTCCAGTCTGTGATACATGGAGAGGGTATTTCTCATGCGGGATAGACATCAGAAAGCCCAGTAAAAATCTGTGATGCCAGGTTCTGCATTACAGACGTCATGTGTCATGTAAAATCTGCATGACATCCAGACCCAGACATTTTTACATTTGATAAACGTCGTGTGAGTGCCAAATATAGCCGCCGGGGCGGAGGTAGTGAGGTCGTGGGCGTTTTCTTGCCGGGCGTCGCCTTGGCCGCGGCTTTGCTGTTTCTGGGGCCGCCATACCGCCGTGAGTAACGTTAGGCAGCACGGTATGGCGGCCGCTCCATAAACGTCGCAAATTTTGGCAAATCTCCGAAATTCCTTCCCGAAAGCCAGCCCCCATGCTATGGAGCCGATCCGGGCGCCACGGGGGGCGCCCAAAAAGCGAAGAAAAATCGGGCCCATAGCATGCGGATTGGCTTTGCGCGTCTGGGGCGCTTTTTCTTTTTCGCGTTTCTATTTTTCACGCCGGCGCTTTTTGTAAAGCTTCCCAGGCTCTGAAACCGGCGAAAAGGCTGCCGCTTTCGCGGCCGCCCAAAATGCTCCGAAATCGCGGCCGTGCCATGCTGTTTCTGATCCGAAATCGCGGCCGTTTTGATTTTGGGCGCGTTTTTTTCGCGCTGCTTTTTGGGCGCCCCAAACCGCCAGAAACCAAGGCGGTGGGCGCCTCAGAAGGGCGCCCCTTTTGCCGGCTCCCCTGCGTCGTTTTACCCAGCGGCGATCGATAGAATCCGCTGGCGATTCGGTGCCGACACAGCCAGAGCCGCTTGATAATTAAAAACTTTTTATGTCAAAAAACACTTCCGCCCGCTTGAAAACTGACGGCCGTTTTGCTGTCTGGCTGGCAAAAAAACTCCCCGGTTAGAACCGTTCGGTGACCTCACTACATACTACTATGATGAAGATCGTTCAAGGAAGTACTAGCACTGTGTACTATCTTGCTACTCGTCAAATTGGTCAAAGCGCTGGAACTTTGCGTGTAGTATCCACCTGTTCCTGTGCTACCTCCTAAAGCCTCTCGTTGGTGGTGATTCAAATTGGCTTGCATTTGCGCCGCCCTTTCCCGCTGCTCGATTAGTGGCGCGGAAGACTTCGCATACCAAGACTGGTGGTGGGTTGAAGCTTCTAATTGCTGCTGCTCGTGCTGAGAGTTACTGTTCGACGAGCTAGTACTAGGACCTCCGGGCGGACCGCCAGCGCCAGAGACGAGAGACGTCAGACTGAGGGATCTACTGGCGGGAGGTTTGGTTCCGTTTACTGTTGTTGCATGTTGCTGCAGCCCACCGGTACTAGACACGACCGTGGTTGTGCCAGACGTGGAGAGGTTTTGCGGTCCAGCGGCATTCTGCGGCGTAACTCGTTTCGAGCTGGCGTTCGAACTACCACCTGTAGTGCCGCTAATTGCGCCCGATGTTTCCTGTTCACAGATCACCTGCTCCACGACACCGGAAAGAGATAAAGACACCGAGGACTGCTGTTGTTCCGCGACGGAGTTGTTCGCTGAGTTGCTGCTCGTATTATCAAGTGCAAATATGTCGGGGTCTTCTGGAAGAATGCAAGTTTGTCATGCTTGTCTGGCATGACTGATAAATCTGTAATGCAGGAGCAAGAAAAAGGCCTCTTGTCTGTCATGCAGAAACGCAGTTTGTCATGCGGAAAACGAAACACAAGAGCAGCTCAAAAATTTGCCATGCTTCACTGCGTATTGCAGTGCGCCCACCAGTCGCATTTTAGCATCACATCGGAGGTCTACGGGCAGTTCGTCCCTTTGCTGTTCAGAGGCCTACTAAAACCAGTATATGCTAAGCTACCTCGTAACGTAAACTTGAAGGAAAAGCTAAATCGGAAAACTTAGTATTGCTACTTAAGCGCTTGTAAATGTGTATTTATGTATGGGAATAAATTCCAAAGGCCTTTTCAAAGTCGCATTTTAGCATCACAAATTTCCGGAGGACACAAACATATTTGCATTTGATACGTATTCGTCTCTAGCAACAAATCCCTCGCGATCTTGTTCGCCATGTCGATTGCCTGGTCGACGGATTGCTTGTTCTTGCTTGTTTTTCTTGATGTTGTAACAGTGTTGTCTTCGGGCGATGTGCTTTTGGACGAGGATCTTACTTTCGAAGTTGTCGTGTGAAGACTAGCTGTTGGCACATGATTACCGCTATTAAAATTCGACACTGCAATGCTACTCCCCCCCGTCGCGGCCGCGACATTGACCGCCGGTGCTTGCTGCGCAAATGGGAACTCTACATTGACAATTTGGACAGTCGTCGGGGCCTGTTTCAGGTAGTTTTCGTAGGTTGACGCTCCTGCAGAGGCGGATGTTGCGGAGGTCGTCGTGTCTGGCGATTTCTTGGCTACTTCTACTGCTGCACTTTGCTCGTCTTCTGCAGCAGTGGTCGCTGAAGTTGTTGTATTGATGTTGTTGTCGTCAGCAGACGTAGTTGTTCCCCTGATGTTCTGGTTATTTTCCTTCAGACTAAACACACTCAGCAACCCGTCCAGCTGTTCCACAATGCCGTTGGCTACCGCGAGCGCGTTCGACGCAGCAGCTGATTTGCTCGAAGAAGTGGTTGTAGTGGCCCCCGGCGCCCCTGCGTTATTTGATGAAGTTGCTGCCGGTGGTGCCCCAGTTGCATTCAGATTCACCGGCATTCCCGGCCCGCGGTTGGCCTGTTCCAGAAGTGCTTCAAGCAGATCTTCCTTTTTCTGCCCCAGAGGTGCGACCTCTGCTGCTGCTGATGTGTTATTCGTAGTAGAACTACCACCGGGGGCGGCATTCATTTTGCTCACAAGTAACGACCCATTGTTCTGGCTATCCCTATCTTTGTTGTTTGTCCCAGTTGCTCCTGCCTTGTCATGAGGATCCCTGTTATTATCGCCAACATTCAGCCCGTCAGCATCCCCACCATCCCCTGTCGTGTTGTGCAAAAACTTCATCGCGGTTTCAATCACCGGCGAGACCCATTTTTTCCTTTTCTTCGTTTTTTTCGGGCTCTTATGCTTTGCAAATGTGTCTGGGTCTGGAAGGATGCAAGGTTTGTCATGCTTGTCTGGCATGACTGAAGGATTTGCGATGCGTGTCCAAGAAGAGACACTCCTTTGCTTGTCGTGCATATCATGCGAAAAGCGCAACACTAAGCAGCGCAGATATTTCTCATGCTTGGCTGTGCATTACAGGGCATTCACTATCGCTATTCCCAACCCAGCATTACAAGTTTCCAGACCCAGAATATTTGCATTTGATAACTCTGGCCGTAATTGCTCGAGGTTTTGATCGCGCCGGAGGATGATCTTCTGCTCGTTCCGTTAGCTCCACCTCCCATCTGGGGCAAATTTATCGTGTGCAAAAGCATCGCACTCGTATTGCAGTCATGCATTACAAATCTTCTTTCTAAGGTCGATCCGCACTACAAATTTTATTTCTCACGCTGAGGAAATTTGTAATGCATTTATACGAGTGCGATACTTTTGCAGTTCATAAAATTCCACCTCGAACCAGTCTCCGCTGCAGGCTGGACGATTATCGGGGAGGAGTTACTAGCGTTCGCAAGACCTCCTGCCGCCGTCGTGCCGGGATTATTGTTGTTCAGACCAACACCAGCTCCTTCTGCCACCACAGCTGCGCCGGCCAACGCATTGGATAAATCCGTACCGTTGTCTATCCTGTTTAAAAACGTACCCGCCCCAGAAGTCAAGGTGGGAACTTAGCAACACAAATCTAGAAGTTCTGGGAGCCACGCATGACAAGATGCAGTGCGTAGTGTAGTGCCGGTCCGCAAGAAAGACAGCCGCATCACGACAAATCCATCTGCTCATCCCGTTTCCAGCATTACAAATTCCAGAACACAACTAGAAATGCCTCTCATGGAGTCCCGCATCACAAATGTTTCTCTGGATGCAAATCTGCATGACAACTCTGGGGTGGCGACGTTTTAACCCAGAATATTGTCCCTTCGGAAAAAGTCCCCCGCGGTAGCAGCCAACGACTGGTGCTCGTGGGATTGATATCCTATGCAAAAGCATCGCACTCGTACTAATTGCAAATAAGCATGACAAATCTTCCTCTTAAGGTAAAACAGCATTACAAACTGCGTGTGTCATGCTGAGGAAACTATTTGTAATGCAATTCACACTAGAATACGATGCTTTTGCATTGCATAATTGAATCAGGCTGTTAATTTTGGATTGTAAGAGTGGACTGTTGCTGCCGCCGTTCACCCGCCCCGCCTGCGCAAGGTCATCCGCCGTGATGTTATGTTCGTTGAATAAACCTATCAAGTGCAAAAATTATGTCTGGGTCTGGAAACTTGTGATGCATGTCAGTGAACAGGAAGCGCACGTGCTAATGCACCGCCAAGCATGACAGATTTTCCCGTGGCTCTGTGTTGCGTATTCCGCATGAGAAACATCGTTTTTGCATGACAGACAAGAGAAGGTCTTCGTGGCCACGCAATACAGAGTTCAGAGTCATGCCAAACTAGCATGAGAAATCTCACAATCTTCCAGACGACCCAGACATATTTGCAATGCATAAAATCCACAAGCTCCTCGACGCCGTGCGTGGAACCTCCTGCTCCGCCAAACGGACCCCCCGTTTGACTCAACAAAGACGGCATGGACACAGAAGCTATGAAATGCAAAGATGTCTGGGTCTGGAAGTAGAATCCGAAATTTGTTATGCTGTTTTTGCATGACACAGAATGTCCGTCATGGAAGCCCTAGCATCACAGATTTTTAGAGGACTTCCTGATGCCTATTCCGTATGACAAATGCCCTCCACGCGTAGCACAAATCGGACTCCTCTTGCTGGTCATGCAATACAGAATTTTTTAGAGTCCAAAGTTAGCATCACAAGTTCCAACCTTTCAGACCCAGACACTTTTGCAATCCATAGAAGTCCCGAGCACGCCAGTCAGCGGGGAGTTGTTTGTTCCACCCGGTTATCAAGTGCAAAAATGTCTGGGTCTGGAAACTTGTGATGCTAAAATGTGCACGATGAAAACACTGCCGAATGCAGTCCGGCATGCCAACTTCCCAAAACGCTTTCTCATAGGCAATCCGCATGAGAAACTGCGTTTTTGCATGACAAAAGAGGCTGCGCCTTTTGTTGGTTATGCAATACAGATTTTATAGGTATGGAAAGCTAGCATGACAAGTTCCAACCTACCTTCCAGACCCAGACATTTTTACAATCCATACCGGTGCTGCCCCCCCGCTGTTCTTCGCGATGTAGGTGGTTCGGCCGAACGCGTATCCTGAGTAAAAACGTCCCCACACCAGAGGCAAGTTGGGGACGTAGCAACACAAATCCAGAAGTTTTGGGAGCCACGGATGACAAGTTGCAGTCCGTAGTGTAGTGCATTGTTAGCACGGAAAACCGCATCACAAATCCATCTTCTTATCCTGTTTGCAACATTACAAATTTTCAAACGCGACTGGTAATGCCTCTCATGCTCATGGAGATGCGCATTACAAGTCTTCCTGTCATCGCAAATCTGCATGACACCTCTGGGGTAGGGACATTTTTACTCAGGATAACGCGACGATGCGGTTTAGTAAAGACATTTTCTGCTGTCTCAAGGCCAAATCTTCCTTCGCATTGAACAAATTCCGGACCTTATCGCAAGAAAAAACTGTTTCACTGTGAACTTGTGATGCAAAGAATGGAGCACAGAACGATTTGTCTTGCTACACCTGCAAGACATTGGATTTTTCAGCGTGTCTTCCCTTGGGAAGCGCGCATGGCAAATTTTCTGTGTCATGTGTAACAAACTTGTGATGCAGATATTGCAAAATCATCACAGTGAAACAGTTTTTCTTTTTTCGTGGGATAGACCTGCAGATAGTGCCGCATGATCCCGTGAAAATGCCCGCCGCGGTTGAAGCTGCTACTACCGTTCCCTCGATTGCCAGTTGATGTCCGTTTAATTTTGTTGGGCGAGCTGCTGTTGCTCCGTCCCTCCCCGCGCGAGCCCATCTTCTCCCGCATTTTCCTTAATTTTTCGGGAGATAAGTTATCCCCCGAGGGGTTCGAATCACTTCCCTCGTCTAACTCGTCACTTGGGTCTGGGGGCAAATCTTTTTCCCGCTTTTTCTGCTTCTTCGCCTCCGCTTGCTGTTGCGACTCGACCTGAATCTCTTTCATTAATTGCTCCACGGAGATGTTTTGCATCAGATTCTTGTTGTTCTTGTCCACTTCTTGTATCCCATGTAAAAACGTCCCCACCCGAGTCAAGATGGGAACTTAGCAACGCAAATCAAAGAGTTTTGGGAGCCACGCATGAAAAGTTGCAGTCCGTAGTGTAGTGCATGTTAGCACGAGTAACCGCATCACAAACCCATCTCTTTATCCTGTTTACAGCATTACAAATTCCAAAACGCGACTGAACTGCCTCTCATGGAGATGCGCAGTACAAAGTTTCCTGTAATCACAAGTCTGCATGACAACTATGGGGTGGGGACGTTTTTACACAGGGTATCTTGGGCCGTCGTGTCCTTATCTTCGGACGTTTTGCTGGAGGATGAAGCCTATCCTGTGCAAAAGAATCAAACTCGTGTTGCAGTCATGCATTACAAATTTCTTTCTCAAGGTAAATCCGCATTACGCATTTCGTTTCTCATGCTGAGGGAATTTGTCATGCATTTATACGAGTGCGATACTTTTGCAGTTCATAACGCCTGCAGTGGGTCAGAATTTGTTGTGCCGGAAGCCGTGGTTTCTAAAGTGGAGGAGCGGGATAGCAGTGGTTTAGGCGGTTTGGATGAACTATCTGCTACTGCTGTAGTAGTGGCTGGTTTGGTTCCGTTATCTGCATTCTCGGTTGGCTCTTTTTCGTTTGCATTTTCCGCCGAGTTCTCCAAGGTTTTACTGCTACTTGCCAATAACAGCGATTTTTTCGTCGGGAACAAGCCCAGCGCCAAAGAGCTACTCAGTCCCTTCGCCGTCATAAACGCCTATCAAATGCAAAAATGTCTGGGTCTGGGAGATTGCCAGATCTGTAATGCTCTGCTGACAGGAGAGAAAGATCTGTCATGCATATTGCGCTACCGCGTCATTTTTTTGTAATGCAAAAACGGACTTTCTCATGCAGTTTACGCAAGACCTAGCTGCTCAGAAACTTGTCATGTGCTTCCCCAAATTGGGGATTGTTTCTGATTCGCAAACTAGCATCACAACTTTCCAGACCTAGACATACTTGCAATCCATAACGCCTTCGTGTTCGCGATCGTTTCCCCCCGCTGCTGCGCGAGCCACTGCTGTTCGCGCTCTATGGTTAAGAAGTCTATTCCCTGAAAATTAACCATCCCCGTCCAGTTTTTGCATGACAAACACACACTTTGCTACATGTTTTGCATGACAAATTGGATGGGGATGGTTAATTTTCAGGGAATAAAGTCGAAAAGCCGGATGTCGTCCGGGATGGCTTCGTATGGGTTGCAAATATGTCTGAGTCTGGAAGAGTGCAAGTTTGTCATGCTTGTCTCACATGACAGCTGAATCTGTAATGCGTGGGCAGGACGAAAAATAAAGCCGTTTGCCTGTCATGCGAAAGTGCAGCTTGCCATGCGGAAAGCGAAGCATAAAGGTGTCCAGAAACTTGTCACGCGTGGCTACGCAAGCGAGTTGCACGCCCATGATTCACAAACTAGCATTACAAGTTTCCTTAGACCGAGACATATTTGCAGTGGATACTTCGTTTTCCAACCCGTCGCTCGGAATAATATTTCGATTCGCGTGCAGCAGGGCCATGTTTGCTTGATGTTCTGAGTGGTTTTTGGCGCTGCTTTCCTTATTCCGCTTCGGACTTGTTGGCATTAATGTCACGGACTTTTCCTTTGATGGGCTAGAAGTACCAGCGACTGTGGAACTAGTAGACCCTTGCTCCTTCTCTTTCGACGGACTCGTCGTAGTACTACCCGTTATACTTTTTGCAGCCTTGTTTTGGTCCTGATCGGAATTGGTAAAGCACTCCGTTTCACTGGAGCTGGTTCCTTCCCCGGAAGTTATGCCATGGATTTTTTTCTTCTGTTCGTCGGACAGGTTTTCATTTTCTATGCAGTTGTCCTCTTCCAATAGAAAAACTTCATCGAGATCGTCCTCGTCTGGTTCAGCCGTGTCGGGATCGTCGAGATCGTCCGGGTTTGGTACTTTTGGCTTCTTAGGGGATAGAAGATCTTCATCATTTTCCTCAACATCCGCTTCTTGTTCCTCTTCGGGGTTCGCGGGGTCGTTATCCGGTTCATTTTCGTTCTCTTCCTCACCGGACTGCTCGCCGTTCTCGTTTCCTCCGTCGACGTCCTCCTCCTCCCCTTCGGCATCCTCGTTGTCGCCGTTCAAATTTGTTGTGGAGGAGGATTTTTTCTTCTTCTTTTTCGCTTTTGTTTTCTTCTTGCTTGGCGAGGATTTAGTTTTCGAAGGCGAGCCGGATTTGGATGGGGAGTAATTCATGTTCAGGTCACCAGCGGAGGCGGCAGCCTAATGTGTGAAGAGTGAGAGTGTAAAGGGCGGGAAAGATTTATTTACATGACAAGACGACAGAACTTGGAAAAGTTCTTTCTCATGCAAAATTTCCAGCACGGGAATGCTAGCGCACAAGCATAATGACGTCCGAAAGACCAAAACAAACATCCATCACTCTACCTTCAGCCCCGCACTACTCGCACTCTTCTTCGGACTCGACGATTTCTTCTTTTTCTTTTCCTTACTCGGCGAACCGCCGCCTTTACCCCCCGCCATCCCCTCCTCCACTTCCACCTCTGTCACATCATCCGAAGGGGACCCAGAAGGCGCGCCGTTCTGAATCGACTTTTTCTTTTTCGAGGGTGAGTTCTTTTCCGCGTTGTCTTTTTTCTGGTTATTGTTCCCCGCGGCACCCCCGATGCTCGAGCGGAAAGTGGACTTGTTTAATTGGTAGTTGTTCACTTCCCTCGCTAGGTGGAAGTGGATCAGCAACCCCCTTGCCAAGGTTGCGCCGAGAGTGGAGAGTTTGTGGGGTGTGAATGGGATAATCTTCTGCTGGATCAGCATTTTTTTCTTTTTCTGCTCCTTTTGCTGCTTTTCATCCAGAATCTGATCCTCGTCTTCGTCTTCCGCGTCAGAACCTTTCCCGCCGTCCGACCCCCCGTCGTCGTTTTCTTGATTTTTAGCCGCGGTGGCTTCGTCTGTTAGATTTTAGTTCATGACGCCTTGAGCTGCCTTGTTCATCTTGGACAGTTTGCAATCAAAAATTTTCTTCATCCGTGCTATTTCTTCATGCGTTGTAGCGGGTGGAACCAGTCATGCACGTCACTGAATGGCAGCTACGAAAAAAAAAAAACAAACGGAAACGTTTTCAACCTGTACCATCCGAGCTCGACGCCATCGCCTTGTTCCCAGCACCATTCTTTCCACCAGCACCGCTATTTGCGGCCGCTACTTCCTCCTCCCCGACCGTGCTGATTGCCCCGAAAAACGACGCTTCTATGGTAAACGCCTCCACTAGCCCAATGTCTCGCGCTACTACCACTCGGCCTGTGCCCCGCTTCTGGTTCCCGCCGTGGCCAAAGCAACAGTTTTGGTACGAGAATTCCGGCGCTAGGACCGACAAAATTTTCGGATACATCCGAACCGTGTAGAACCGGTGATCCGTCGAGGGGTAGGTGGAGCACCCGTACGCAAACAAATTCGTCTGCCTGCTGTGCCCGTGCAAGTCCAAGTACAGGACCAGCTGCTTTTTCAACTTCTGCAGGATTCGCTTCAACTCGTAGACAGATTGATCCACGTATGAGAATGCACAACTCCCCCTCCCCCGCCTCATTTGTGTTGCATGAACAGTATTACACAAGCGCTGGCAAGGATGCCGCTTACTTTCGCACGACAAATTAATTCCTTCTAGCGGATTCTAGTAATTCTGTTTTGGATTCCGGAATCTGTCGTGCAAACAGTGCTAACAGACAAAGGGTGGCTTTGGAATTTTGCATGACAAATGAAGGGCAGGGGCAGTTGTGCGCTTTCATACCAAAACCGGGTCCGGGAACCGCCACTGCCGGTTCAAATCCACACCCGCGAGACTGCACCGGTAGTTCCCAGATATCACCCCATCGGGGTTCTATGCATTGCAAAAGTTGTATCGCACTCGTACTAAAACTAATTGCAGTCATGCATTACAAATCTGATCCGCAAGGTCAATCAGCATGACAAATTCCATTCTTCATGCGGAGGACATTTGTCATGCGATTTTCACTAGGTCTAGTACGATGCTTTTGCAATGCATAAGTTCAGCATCGGCACAATTTTGAAGATGAAGTGCGACCGCAGCACCTGCGCTTCTGGGGTGTTGGACAGGATGAAGTTGAGAAACCCGTGCATCAACCGCGATATCCTGACAAAAAACGTCCCGACTTCATAGTCAAGTTGGTAAATCTGCAACACAAATCTCTAAGTTTTAGGAGTAGTTGCGCATAACAAATTTTCACCTGCAGTGTAGTGCTGAGTAGCAAGGGAAGCCGCATGAGAAAGCCGCTTTCTCATCCTGTTCACAGCATTACAAATGTCAAAAGACGATTGGAAATACCTGTCATGGAGATGGGCATCACAAATCTTCTGTCATGGCGGATTTGCATCACAACTATGCAGTGTGGACGTTCTTACACAGGATACACGACGCGTTCGCTTCACCCGGGTGGACGCGAGAGGAAATGACGACGTACCGTTTGTCCTCCCTTGGTATGCAAGAAAAAAACTGTGTAAGTGTAACTTTGTCTTTCAGATGCTGCAATACAATGACACTTGTCATGCTGGATATGCATCAGAGGCTTACTCGCTACGCATAACAGGTTTTCTCTGTCATGCAAAACAAATCTGTGATGCTGTTCCTGCAAAAAAGTAATAAACTTACACACTTTTTTCCTTGGATAATTGGCACGGTCCAATTACTGATGGACAACAAATCCACTTCCGCCCGGCCGAGCGTTTGACAGAGCGGTCTATGAACTGCGAAAGTATCGTAGTAGTAGCAATTGCAATACAAATTAGCTCAGCATGACAAATTGAGTTTGTCATGCTGTTCTACCTTGGGATGGAGATTTGCAATGCATAAACGCAATTACTACCACATGTACGATACTTTTGCACAGGATACGGTCGTCTCCGCATCAATTTCGCTTTCTCCGCGTACTGCTCGTCGGTTTGGATCGTGCGCCATCACAAGAAAAAGCGCTATACGTTAACGGTTTTACCAGATGGCAGTCATGCATCACAAATGTGGCCCAATATGCATGCTATGCATGACAAATTCTGGCGCGTTTTGTGATGCGTTGCTGCATCACAAACTGCGTTAGCGTTAACACTTTTTCCTGTGATATGCGGAGTAGGGTGCGGAGGGAAGAATATGTGTACGGATACGTGTACGCGATAAAGCAGACATCGTTGTCTATCCCACGAAAAAACTGTTTCACTGTGAACCTGTGATGCAGAGAACAAAACACCAAAGTGTTTGTCTTGCTACACCTGCAACACAATGGATTTTTAAGCGTGTTTTCCCTTGGGAAGCGCGCATGGCAAGTTTTCTGTGTCATGTGTAGCAAACTTGTAATGCAGATCTTGCAAAACCATCACAGTGAAACAGTTTTTTCGTGGGATATTGTCGTATTCGAAGGTAATGTCGAAGGAAAGCGTGAAATAGTTGTTGTTTGGGTTGTTGCTGTTTTGATGGTTACTGCTGTTCTGATTACTGTTGTTGTTCCCTCCGCCGAAAGTCCGCCTAGTGGAGGAGCGTTCCCTTTGCTGGGAGGAGCCTCCACCTCCGCTGTTCCCGTGCTGTGGTCCTGCTGCACTGTAATTATCCTGGTCCTGCCCGTCCTTGTCCTCGTTGTCATTGCCCATGGAACCACCGAAAGAACTGTTGCTATTCGTTCCGTTGCTATTGTTATTCCCAGAGTTCACCAAGGAGAAGATATCTCCATTGTTCATCAGACCAGGATTGGGACCACCTGTTCCGTGATTTTGACTGCTAGTTCGCCCGAATAGATTCTGGGTGGAAGATGAACCTCCTCCTCCGTTATTGGAATTGTTGCTATTGTTCCCTCCTCCCCCGCCGGTGAACTGCATTTGTGCCCTGACCGCCCTTGGAATCTTATTCCGCGCGTAGGTGATGTTTTCTCCCATCGGGCGCCAGAGTTTTGGTAACAGTTCTGAGGAGGAAAACGGGTCGAGGTTGTTTGTCGGGACCTCCGTTGTGACACCACCGGAGCGCTTCGTGAACATGTGGGTCTGCTGTTGTTGCGCAGAGTTAGAACTAGAAGTTGGCTCCACATCCGAAGTTGCAGCACCTCCGTCTTGTTGTGTGCCTGCATAATTGCCACTGTTTTGATGTTCCTGCTTCGCGCCAGTACAAGAACCACTACTACTACCCGATGAATTCGAAGATCCTCTATTATCCCCCGCCGCGAACATCTTCATTGCGTGCGTTTCGCTCCACACTAGCGGTCGCATCCCCATCTGGAAGAGACTAGCCCCCTTGCATGCGTTGATGATCCGGAACCGGATCGTCTGGGCCCGCTTGAAGCCGCGACAAGCGAAATTGAACCACTGGACATGCCCGAGAGAATTTGTGTCGTGGTCAAGGACTAAATCGTAAACCGGAATGTAGGTGTTATACCCTACGAGAGGCGTGGGGTGAAGACCATTTGATGTCGTTCCCAAACCACTCGTGCTGTCAGCCCCAGGACCTGGTGCTCGTCCACCGGAAGACGACGAATTCGTCGAGGCCGCACCCGCAGCGGCTGCTGCTGCTAAAGGATGCTGCAGAACACCAGAACTACTACCTCCACTATCGTCCACCACCCTCTTCACGACCCCGCGGAAACAGGCGTACTTTAAATTTCCCGACTCGAAGCAGCTTGTATGAACTGCAAAAGTATCGCGCTTGTAGTAATTGCAGTCATCGACATTACATACAAGTCTATTTCTTAACGTAAATCCGCATCACAAATTTGATTTCTCATGCTGAGGAAATTTGTAATGCAGTTCCTACTAGTACTATCTAGTACGATACTTTTGCAATTCGTAGCTTGTAAACTGCAACAAGTCCTGCGGATCCCTTAAACTGGTGGGGAGAATCGTCTTTCCGGCGTTTTCCCGGTCCCAGGCATTGGAAGAGGAACTACTGGAATTGTTCGAACTCCCACTGCCAGACGAAGAAGATGTTGAGCCACCGGTCGCGACGTCCGAATTCATCACTCTCGCGCAGGTTCCGACGTATCTTCGAGACGCACTGAAAGAGTCGCAGGCGTGATCCAACAGGGAAAAGCTGTCTTCCCTCTTGTGACTGCCTTCCTTGAAAATTGCTTTATTCTTGCCTGGACTTGTTTTGTTCGGCGTTTTTTTGACCTCAAACTCCAGATCCTCCTCTGGACTGTGCTCCGGATCAGTTTCTAGGTTTGGATCATCATCGTCATCGGAATTGAGTACTAGTCCGGGCCTTGACGTTGCGCCAGCAGCTGATCCTCGTCCACCTACACGCGGCCCAGCACTCGGGGGTCGGTGGCTCGAGGCTAGGCCTTTATTCGGTGTGGAGGAGGAGGCGGCGGAGGAACTTGATAGAGGCTGATTTGAAGTAGATGCTAATCCTGCTGCTGAAGACGAACTAGTACCTGTAGCATTGCCACTGGGGGACAGCATCAGCGGTTTTAGCTTCAAAGCTGTCCTCGATGGCGTGTTCCTTGTGGACAGCGGGTTGTTACCACTCGGCACACGAAAAACACCGGAGTTAGGGCGGTTAGAAGGTGGAATTTTTGACGGAGTGGCGGTGCTTGAACTTAAACTTGCAGCAGCACCACCAGGAGACGCAGCTGTCGTCGTCGTCCTGTTATTTGGAGTAGAAGTACTTCCAGCGGGAAGCTGTTCCTTGATGTCCACACTGTGACTCGCCTCCTCCTCCTCTGCCACATCGTGCAGCGGCCCGATTGTCGTCCCCACGCCATTTGGCGTACTACAGTGCGGATTCGTCGCCGAGGAGCTCGCGAACTGCTCCCACGTTTTCTCGTGCACCACCTTCGGCCACCGGACCTCACTAGAAAACGGCGGGCCGCCGAAAACTCGCCTGACATTTTTGAAATCCTCCGGTCGGGTCGCGTCCCAGAAAAACCTCGAGTGCTTTCGCTTCTTAATCGCGGAGAGGACTTGCTCGCGGGAGGGCTTATTTGTGCTGGAGGCAGAACTGGTACTGGATGTAGAAGACGAAGAAGTTGATGAAAATGATGATGATGATGTACCACTACCGGTCTTGCCAGCGTCGTCACCAGAAGTTTTCGTCGGAGACAAGCTGCCCTGACAACTCTCGGCGACTTCATGATCCTGACAACTGGAATAGATGCTGTTCTTCACCTATCCCGTGCAAAAGTATCGCACTCGTAGTAATGGCAGGCAGGCATCGAAAATCGAAATCTAACTTTCTACCTCGTCCAGCATGACAAATTGCACTTTGGTTGTTGGGAAAATTTATGATGCGATTTATCGTAGAAGTACGATACTTTTGTAATGCATATCACCTTCAGCCACCTGTCCTTATCCAGCCAGGTTGGTCTGCTGTAGACCAACTGCCCCTCCAGATATTTCAAAACATCCGCCTCGCAGTGCGCTTTCGTGAGGAACGAGGCGATGTCATCGTGGAGATCGTCGACGAACTCGAGAGATTCGATCCGTTTTTTTCTCCCCAAATTTCGAAATGTCGCGTTCAAATTTGCGAAAGAGTTGGAACGGTCCAGGTTATTTGTATCTGTTGTCGCGGCGATCTCGGCGGCATTGGTGCCCTCCGAGCACCCTCGCTGAAACGCGGGGAGTGTGTCGGAGAGCATTTTCTTAGTGGGATGAAGAACTACTGGTGCCTGAGGAGGCTGGAGGTGTAGAAGAAATTATAGGTCAGGAACTGCAGGAGGACCGTCCCTCCTGTGGGTCGTTCCGTGGCGCCGGCTTCCTGTGCTCTTGAAAAAAATAGTACTTGAAAAAAACACTAGTTGTTGCACAAAGAGAAATAAATGAATCCTGACAATAAGCGGCTTCTGGTGAGAGAAAGCTGTACCACCGAGCAGTACTAGCACTAGGATACACGAGCGACGACCCTTTGTATAACGATGAAAAGAAAAAGACCTCCCTAAGCCACGACAAAAAGAGCCAGGAGCTGAAATATGAGCTTAGAATGATGGAACTACGTACGATGAAACAGAATGCCGAGCGGTACCCTTGTCACAGCAGGTACGAAAAAGTTCAAAGATGCCGAAGACAACGCCATCACCCAAACAGAAAAAAACGAGTCTAGATCAGTTACAAAATACCCAACAAACTAGGTCGACATCAAAGCGATGAAACAGACACCTGAAGTAGACGAGAAAAATTTCCTACGACGATTGTTATTAGAGTAGATTACTTACCCACGACGATGAAGACGCGAGGACCCATCTAGCGTTAGAACTCAACGCGGACACAGAGCGCTGTCCATGTTGTTGCAGATGGAGCATCAATCGTATTCCCTGACGTACGTTTCTGGTTTATTCAAGTTCATCAGTGACAGCGCCGTAGAAATTCCAACATGTTGCAATCAATAGTAGTCCTCGCGTATAATCACAAGCACAAGCTGTAGTTTCGACATTAAAAATTCCCTGCTGCACCAGAAAATTCCCCCTCGAATGAAAAGTCTAATTCGAATGAGCGCCATCGCTATGTGTAATTGCCACTAATTCAAAAAATCGTGAAAAACAAAGTCGAAGGTCGTGTTTTTTTCACAACGCTTGTGCGTGGTATAGAAGAATCGTATCTAATATCGTAGTCGTCGTGCCATGTGCTTGCTTTAGTTACAAACATTCCATCATCTGCGCATCATGCGTTTCAGCAACATGAATTGGAATTGGTCCTTCTCGTTGAGTGTGTTACTTACAACCCCTTGTGCACGGTTTTCACCACCGTATCCAGCGCAATCTGCATCATGGATCGCAATTTCTGTTCCCTCTCCGCAGAAGACAACCCCTTAAATTCCAGTTTGTACGGCGTGCTGGCCGCATTAGGCCCCGTGTTGTCTACCAAGTGAATTTCGTCCGTCACCGTGCAAATGGTCAGCGCCCTTGCGTTCCGCTCACTCGCGCAGGCATAGAGACTGGAGCATTCCATCTCGATCCCGAGGTAGTTGTGCTTTTTCAACAGCGGGTAGAGTGTCTGTTCCTGCGGGTGGTAAAAGAAATCCGAGGTGAAAATCTTCCCGACATGGTAATTTTCGTTTCTCTATGAACTGCAAAAGTACTATCGCACTCGTATATATAAATGCATTACAACTTTCCTTAGCATGAGAAAGAAAATTTGTAATGATGATCTACCTCAAGGAAAAGATTTGTAATGCATGAGTGCAATACGAGTACGATACTTTTGCACAGGATATTTTCGCGTTCTCGGCTAAAATTTTGTCGCAGGATTCGGTGCACGTTTTAAGAAGCTCGAAGTCACAGCATACGGCATGGTCGTGGTCGAGCAGACGGGTGCGGTTCATTCTGATTTTATACATAGTGTTTTTGTAGTTGTGTTGCAGGAGGACACGCATGAAAAACTACCGCATAAAAACCCGTACATCTCTATATGCGTAAAAGATACCGAACTGCACGTATTACTAATCGTAATCAAATAAGATCCAGCACATCACAAAAATAAAAGTCATCCTGTACTTGCTATCCGTCCCTGCCGTCATCGCCAAGATCAAATCTCCCATCTTCTATCCTGTGCAAAAATATCGCACTCGTATAAATGCAAGTTTTGCATTACAAATCTTTGACTTGAGGTAAATCCGCATTACAAATTTCATTTCTCATGCTGGGAAAATTTGTAATGCATTTATCATACGAGTACGATACTTTTGCAATTCATATCTTCACCTTGGGCGCCAAGTGCGTTCCACACGACCCAATCCGGATTAACACCTTCACATTGTAGTAGTCGATCAACTCGGAAAAGTAAATGCTCGCCCCGGCGGCGCCCATTCCAGAGGCGACGACGGAGAGCCTTACCCCATTGTAGTACCCCGTGTAGCCTAAGCAGTTTCGGACCGACGTGACCTGCTTGTAATCCTCGAGGTAGTTCTCCACAATGTACTTCGCTCGTAACGGGTCGCCGGGGACCAGGCAAATTTCCGCAATCTCAGTGATATCCGCACCGATGTGCGCGGTACCCTTCTTGTCGGAGGTGGGCGCCATGATCTTGCTATGTTATGGTGCTTGTGGTCGTATAAAAATGATGATCTGGTGGTGCTTAATGTTGTTCCTCAAATCTTGTCCAGGCAACTTACGAGTAGGTGGAAGAAGGCTAGTCTTTCGGTGAGAAGGAGTTGAAATTGGGACAGGGAACCGAAGGAGGGCGAGTGGAGGAAAAGACCGAGCGGGAAACTCATACGCAGAAAAAGTAGAAGTGGATGTAGTGCATCCGAAATTGATATGAAAACAGACTGATCGCGAAAGAACTCTGGTGTCTTATTTTGGCTTAGGATCTCGTCCTACTTCTTGCATGTCGGTCGCATCTTCAAAAAGTACAGTGATCAAACATGAGCAGCATGAGGAGCTGTTACACTATTTTTCACGATTAGAAATCCAAAGGGTGGATCCAGGTCGAATCGAAGCTGCTGCTGTGAAAGACGAAAATGATCGTGATCGTGATTGCACGGAGGTCCGCGTAAGAGCAAGAGCATCTTTCATTTCAGTAACCGAACAGTATTACCGATTTGAAAAGCACCGGTCAAGGAATGATCATGACATTTGCGCTTACTATTCTTGTATTCGTGTCGTTGATTCGCATGACGTTTACGCTTGTTCTGAAAAGCATCCTGGTCGCTGCAAGAGTATGTCAACAAAGTAAAAAGCTACTTGCGCTTCCTTGAGAAGAAACATGTTTTTGATTGAAGAAAAAGAATCTTCACTCTGTGCAGAAGTCGAAGAACAAGTGCTTTTTATCCTACAAATTGTTTCCGCTACTTCCGCCTGAAAGGTTGACGAGTTAGTGGGGGCCTGGAAAGAGCCTGATAAACTCGGTGAAATGTTACTTCTTGCAGCTTCCGGCCCTGGTGACACATTATCTTCCAGCAACCCCGCGAAAAAGCGCAGGCTGTGAAAGGGCCAATTGGGTAAAAGCCGCGTCGTCCAGTGACAAGAATTACTTGCTGCGGTCTTCTTCATCCTCCCCGGCGCCGTGGTAGATCTAGATTCGCTGAAATGGAAAGCGGAAAACAGCGAGCTAAGAATTTGGCTCTTCCCCTGCACCGAAAGCCACGCGGGAGCAAGCTGTTGCTCATGCTCTGCTTCCGGCGCGTGTTGAGCACGACGATTATCGGCTGATGTTGCACCACAAGGTCTAGACAACTGTTCTTGCGCAAGCATTTCTCTCCGTCCGAGATCCGCCAGGAAGAAATCGGTGGTTCTTGCACTTGATGCAGGATAATCATAATTTGCGTCGTTGCCATCCCTCCCTCGTCCTCTCAGGGATCTCGCCAGCTGCTGCGCAAATACGTAGTTCACCAGGTGTTGGGGTTCTTGGAAGTAAAGATGAAGGCGAACTGGTTCAAGTTCTTGCCGCATCTGCGCATGACAACCTCCTGTATTTTTGCGGAATTTCCTTGTCAAAAAATACGCAGCGTCGTGAAATCTCGGATCAAACATCCCGGACCGGGCTAGTGCAAGCGCCACCGTGCAGAATCCGTGACTGATTTGCAATCCATCAACATGATCCGGTTGCCTCCCGTTGGCTGCTGCCAGTCGCAGCCGCACCGGAGATTTATTCCTCGTGTCCTCGTGGTCGAAGCAAGGATTGATATCGGCTCCTGATGTAGTAGGGGGTTGATGATCGGCACCAGCTACTTGATTACCATCCTTTTCTTCGTTTTCGCCTTCCAAGCCACATGTTTCACAAAAGATCTTCCAATATCGATCCGCCAAAAGTTCCATCGCTATTTTGTTCGTCGCGGGCGAATTATTTTTATTATTATTTCCAATGTCAATCTGAAACCTTGCAAGTGCGTGCAAGAACATGGCAATGTGCTGCTCGGAAAATTCGTCAGCGTGGCGTTTTCCCTCCGACTCGGCGAGTCGACAAGAACCCCTGTAGTCTGCTGGAAGTAGCCGCAATTCATCGCACAATCTCCGGTTGATGTACTCGGTTGTTAAGAATTGGGAAATGTTTTCACGCAAATCCAGGAGAGCCTTTTTGTTGGAGGAACACAACATCGACGTAGAAGCACTCGCACTGTTTATTGTACAGCCTCCGCTGGTGTTATTATACCCGTCGTCTGCAGAATCACTGTGTACTACTGTAGCGTCTAAGTCCAGCGAATTCGGAAACAGTAGCTTACAACAGGCGTTGAGGACCACGCAAGTGGTTTTGAAAGACCAGTTGGTGGGAGAACAAGCGTTGAAGTCCTCGTTCTTTCTTTGTCCTGCGCAAGTAGAACCCCAACTCGCCTTGTCACTACAACGGTTGAACGTAAAGATGCTCTCGGCGAATCGAACAAAATTGTCCAACGAGAATTCCAGGTGGACCCAAGCATTGCAGATCATCGCCAGGTGGGCTTGGGAGAAAGCATTTTTTGCATCGGTACGGTGGTTCCTCGGTGCTGCTCTACGATATAATGTTCCCGCCGAAACACAAGCAGACCCCGTAGTTCTTGTGTCAGCGAAGGCGAACTGCAGACACTTCGTTTCCAAACATTTCTTGGTGAAAGGGTCCAAAAGCGTGCAGATTCTTTTCAACCCGGAGCCTTTGTCATGCTGCTTTCCATGAACAGTTTCCCACTGCTGATAGTACTTGCTCAGACCGTTCAAAGTCAATGCCAGCCCCTGGGGGGTGAAAAACTCCGAGGTCGTATATCCTGTGCAAAAGTATCGCACTCGTAGTAATTGCTATCAGGCATGGCAAATACACCTTTTTAGGTGAATTAGCATGACAAATTCCATTTTTTTCCAGATGGACAAATTTGTAATGCAATTGATGCTAGTACGATACTTTTGCCATGCATATCGTATCTGAATTTGCCACGTTTCTACTACAACTCAGATGCTGCCTGCGGAAGTGGCCTGCTAAAAACTTGCTGACGCCTTCCCAGAACGGCTGATGCTTCACGATTTTTGCCGGCCGAAGGGCGGTGCCCATACCATTTTTTTCACTTAATTTATGCTCAAGCACACTCTGCTCCTTCCCAAACGCGAGGCAAAGCGTGCTAATGTCCTGCTCATTCAAGACGGGACCACTCGAACTTCCCGTGTGGTCCGTTCCTGTGATGTCAACATCTCCTAGTAGTTCTCCCTATGCAATACAAATTTCCAGCACATGTACAGGATGCATCACAAACTTCACCAATTTGGAGGGTCAAACTTGTCATGCTAAACTAGGATCGAAGCCAAGTTTTGTCATGCAGAAACGGCGTTTGTACGTGTTGTACAGGAAATTTACTGTGGATACTCCATTGTTATTTTCAACAGCTGCAACCAATTCCAGAAACCGCTTCTCCACCGCGTGAAAAACCGCCACACGGACATCTGCGTTGGACACCAGCATTGGCCTCTTCGAGGAGGACGAGGAGGGGCAGGACGAGGTGCCCTCTGTGGCTGCACGTCCAGCAGGCCGCTCATCTTGCACCAGAACTCCAGAGCTAAAAGCCGTCGAATAGAAGTCGGTCGTTGCAGCAACGGTTGCGGCACTGGAGGCGGACAATGCGATCCCCTGTGCGTTGGCATGCGGGATGCCGTGTTGCAGCAAGGCCTGGATGTCGAAATAAGAACTACTACCCTGCTGTAGTCCGGCGGATGGGTGCGGCTGTTTGGCATGTGAAGTAGAGGCATCAGTGATGGGCTGTCCGGCCGTTCTGGTCTTTGCGGCTTGGTGCGGAGGGGGAGGCTTGTTCTTACAAGCCGCCCGAAAAGCGAGCACCAGCTGCTTCGAAGTTTCCTTGCGCCGGGCGGCGGTGTCCATTTTTGAAGATTTCGTGTATCTCAGTCTCTATCTTAAATTAATCTTCTACTGACTCTGCATTTTTCGTACTACAGAGCCAAAAAATCTGAACCAACACACGACGGTCTCCAGCACGAGAAGCCATTGTTGGTCACAAACGCTAAAGACCTCGGGGGCAGAGTACACGCCACACATGTTAATTGCGGGGACGATGACTTGCATCATCGTAGCCAGCAGATCCAAGTTATCTCATCTTTGACCAAGGATCTCTACTACATCTACAGGCTGCCACGTGATTTCGATCTACTTGTCTTTTTGTCGTCGCCTTTGTCACCAATGCAAAAAAACTTCATGCAAGAGCAGAAACATCTCGTCCGCCCGTCCCGAAACACAGGTGGAAACAAGAGACCAGGTGACCAAAGTTGCCACCTTGGGTCGCCAAGACAAAACTGCGCGTCTGACAAGGGAAGGCGAAGCGTCACACGTGCGCGAGAACTCGCTCCTACCAGAAATGTGTATCGACATCAAGCTCATTCCAAAAGAGCCTCGATTTTCGTTTTGTTGTTCGACCCACCAGATAAAAAAGAACGAAGGAAGCTCGGCCATTAACCGCGGCAGCGACCCCACGCACACACTGCGCTCGTGGCTGCGCCCGCGGAAGCGAATATCCATAAAGCCAACCCAGGACCGGTCCGTCGCGGGCGCCGGCAGGCTCGCGAAAATCTAGGTAGCACAATGCATGGCCGGCCCGCCCGGGCTGCCCGCTGCGCCAAGCAATAGGACGGGGCGCCTGGGGGGCGGGGCCACCGACCGGGAGGCGGGGGGGGCAAAGAAACGCGCGACCCATCCCGCCCGCGCCCACACATGAGGCGGGCGCGAGATGCGAACGAAAAACGGCGCGGAGCGCCGCCATTTTCTTGCCCGGGCGGCCGGGACGAGGGAGGCCTGAATGCCGGCAAACGGGGCCGGCCAGGTCGGGGGGCGCCACCACGCCCGAGGAATTCCGGGGCCCCGTCGCCCGTTCTTTTCGCGGCTTGCGTTTCTCTGCGGGGCACAAGACGAACCCAAGGGCCCCCACGCCTAGCGCGCCGAGTCGCCGCACCAGGTGGCAACGCCGCGAGCTGGGGGCCGCGTTGGGCCGCGCTCTCCCAAAGCGCCCACACCTGGCAGGCTGGCAAAACGATGAGCGGCGAGACGATCGACCCACCGACCCGCCACACAGCTACAACGGCCCGCCCCGGGGGGCCTCGCGCGAGACGGCACGGCCCCGCGGCGGCATTCTGACACGCCGGGCCCAGCCCGCCGCCCGCTGCGGCGCACTGCGGGGCGGCGGCGGTGGTGCTCGCGCGCGGGCTCCACATCAACCGCGGCCCGGTAGACTGGGCCCCCGCAAGAGCCCAACCATCCAGGTAGTTCGCGGCGGACTTGTCAGCACTCTCGGCCAGCGGCTGCCAAGCGTCTTCCATTTTGGCGCGGGCCGCCATTAAGTCCGCCGCCATCACGCCCACCGTTCGCCGAAAATCTTGCACGCTACGACGATCATAACGAAAATGATCAGGTGGGATTTAGTTTCCCTTTTCTCTCGCTTATCCACTAGAAGCGACGTCGTGCTTCGCCAGTCGTCCAGGAACACAAAGTCTTACGCTCGCTACGGCTCAGAAGTTGTGGATAACTCTTGGCACTGCCGCAAGTGCAGCGAAATCGCTTCAAGTTCAAGTCCGTAAGTTGTAGCTGGCTATACCGGATACAGCAGTCCAAGACAGCCTCAAAATTTGCTGCCACTTTTTTGCTTGAGTTTCGAAACATGGACCAGAACAACGAGCAAAATGACGCTCGGATCCACAATCTGGCCTACTGGTCAATTGATGTGGTATGTAATTTCGGATGTGGAGCTTTTGCAGCGAAAAATATGTTTCAAATTATACAGGTAAACACTAGCAATGGCGACGCAACTACTTCTCCTACAGCAAATCAAATGTTGTGGTCACTGTCTTCACTCTCTCAACTTAATACTAAAAACCTATTCATATCCTACACTAGTCATTTTCTTTTGATTTTAATCTTTTTGCACGTCAATAAATTCAAATGTTGTAGTTCAAACTACGTTCTACTACGTCGCGCAACTTACTTCTCACGAGTGCATTGACCCTCTCCTGGCCGTCGAAATCAAACCGGCCGACTGTCTTCGACCACCTCCATTCTGAAACTGCTGCTGCCCGTGCTGCCCACCAGCAGCTCCACCTCCACCCTGCATCAACGACAGGGAATTATTCACCCCGCCAACGCTCACCCTTCTTCCCTGGTCCAACATTCCCATAGACCCCCGCCGTTGCCCACCAGTCGCGGTTGTGTTTGTTGCGGTACCGGAAGTAGAAGCTGCGTCTAACAGGAGATCGTCATGGTCCTGCGTCAAATTGTTGTTGTTTTTCCCACCTAGCAGACTGCCTCGCCGCTGGCCCGCGCCAATCGACATCCTTCTCGTAGTTCCAGCATTGGGGTTTGTCATGCCGTTCTGCATGAACTCGCTCTGACTCAGCGCAGTAGAGCCGTTCTTGTTGAGAAACCGCTGCGCATATCAAATGCAAAGGTGTCTGGGTCTGGAAGATTCTGAGCCTTATCATGCACGGTTTGCATGAGACATGATGTCTGTGATGCATGCCCTAGCATCACAGGTTTTATGAGGGATTCTTGATGCCTATTCTGCATGACAAAAACCCTCTCCGCGTAGCAAAAATTAGAATCCTTTTGCTGCTCATGCAACACAAATTTTTTAGACATCCAAACGCAGCATCACAAGTTGCATTCTTCCAGACCCAGACGTTTTTGCATTTGATAGCGCAAATGGATCTGCTATTCCACCGTGCTCCGGCGACGAGGCGTAATGATCGTCCTCACCTCCTCTTGGATTTGTTTTCGCCAAAGACGGCGCCAAGGCGAGAAACGTGTTGTAAAGATCGGCGAGTTTGTTCTCCTGATATCGTTGTGTGATTTTTGTTCCTTGTTCACCGTCGTGTTCCTGTCCCGCAGCTCCTTCCCCGATTTTGCTACCGCCCTTGAAGATGTTCTTGCTGTGGAAGAGGCTTTGGGAGACGAAATCTGTGTAGCTTAGTGGGCTAGAAGACGTCGATGACGAAGGGGCGTTTATCTTCTCCTGTATCCTCTTCCACAAGCAGTTGCTTTGTTCGTCAACGTCATCGCTGCCACTTGTATCCACGTTCAGCAACACACCCGAGGATGTTGCCATCTGCGCCACAAATTCGTATTCTGCGAAGCAGGAACTTTGTCGAAACTCCCACAACCGTTGCAACTCCTCTTTGACAAAATCGGCCCAGAGAATCTCCATGTCCTTCTGATCTTGTATGCAAGAGAAAAACTGTGTAAGTGTCAATCTGTGATGCAGAAACTGCAAAACAGTATACACTTGTCATGCTGGAAGTGCATCTTCATAGCCGTGTTTCATACGTGTTTTCACATACTAGCTGCGCATGACAGGTTTTTTCTGTAATGCAAAGATAATTTGTGATGCAGCAACAAAGCTGCTCTTCCTACAAAGTTACACTTTTTACACACTTTTTTTCCTGGATATCTTGCGGTACAACTGTATTAGAAATCCCCGCGGCCCCGCTCTGTTCTTCCGACAGCACACTGTAAAACGGCGCCTGTGCGATGAAGCCCCGCACCTCCGCTTTGGCTAACAGTTTCTGCTTTTCTTGCGAGATGAGCCCGGCGGTAGTTGACGTACCACCACCATCGCTGGTGGTTCCCATCGAAATAAAACAGGCTTCCAACTGTTCCCGAAGTTGCAGCAAGGTTTCAATGTCGATAAATTTCTTGTTGAAGTTCAATTGCAAGATGTCCCGTTCCAGAATCTCCTGTTGCTGCTTCTGCTCGGTTAATTGGACGTTCTGCACGACTGGTTGACTCATGATCGCGGCATTACCACTCGACGTCATCCCTCCATTTGCGCCGTTATTCGACGTCGCACCCTCTCCGTTCGCCATCGCGTTCCCCACCGCTGTGGACCTAATCAACGGCGCGTTGATCGATACCGCCTTGTTGGGACCACTCTGTTGACTGTCGTTGTGCATCGCAAACCGCTTGTTACCATTCGAAGTGGAAAACTGCAGCTGTCCTTGGCTGTTCAAAGTGAAGAATTCTTCTGCGCAAATCTCGGTGAGGAAGAGAAATTGCAAAATATCCGCGTATCCGAGCGTCGAACTTCCGCTTCCGGTTGTGCTGCTTGTACGCAACTTACTCTGCTGTTCTTGCGAAGGAAGTTCGCTTGCAATCGGCAGCAAGCAGAGTATCGTGTGGATCTGCGTTTTCGAGAACAGGTAGATCTCCTGGGTGGTCAGAACCTCTTTCAACAACCAAACCGGCACGAGAATTTTGCGGATTTTGAGATGATGCTCGTTGTAGTGGTTCTTGTTTTCGTTTTGCGGGCTAGTAGGGCTCTCGTCACCGGAATTATGTTCGGCACTACTAACCGCTCCGTATTCGTACTCAACCTGCAGCAAATTGCTACGAAGCAGGGAGTCAAAAGCAAGTTGTGGTTCCTGTTTGTTCGCATTGTTCTGCTGGTCTTGTTTCTGATGTGTAGCGGCCGCCGCTACTACGGTTGCGAACCCAAAGGGCATGCCTGTATTTTGTGTAGTACTACCGCCTGTTGCACCGCCCACTGAATGCTGTCCATGTTGAAACTTGCCCCACGGGGCGGCTGAACTTGGGGAGCTATCATCTTGCTTCTGCTGACCACTCGTTTTTCTGTGGTACGCGTCACAGACCTGATATAGAGTTGTAGTAGAATCCATTTTATAGCAAATTTGGATTTTGTTTTCGTCATCGTGATGTGCAGAGCAAGAGCTGCATCAACGTGTAGTGCATCAGTCGACGCATGCGCAAGTTGTATGGAAGTCATTCATAGGGAGTTGCCAAAACCATTATACCTCAATCACCACATTTCCCAGTTGCAGCAACCTCCCCTCCGTCGCCTCCCTCGCCGAAGCTCGTCCTGCGCCGCTAGTAGCACCTACTCCCAGAGCATTTTTCTTGTTAAACGCATTCACCGCCAACGCCCGGATTTCCAAATAGTGCCGGATTATATCCTCGTTGTAGGGAATTTTCATCGCTTCCAGCTTCGTCATCGTGAGCAAAATCTCGTTTTTCGTGAACCTCTTTGATTTCACCAACCATTTTTTCACTTGGTTCCTCGTGTTGGTTTTCTGTTTGGAGAGAAATTGCTCGCGGATGGAGTGAAGAGATTTGGCCGTGTCGGAGAGCTCGTTTTCGTAGAGTTGGAGAAGGGTTTCCAGGGTGTTGTCGTACATTGAGGATACTGCATTTATTTCATCGGGCTGGTCAGCTGCGGTTCCAGTTGCAGATGCTTGTTCTACCGCTTGTTGATGTGGGTGTGGCACCACCTGCATCATTCATGTCAGTTGTGGTTGTCGTTGTCATTCTGGCTACATCAGCACCACGACTACATGTAAACACGCATTCATCACACTTGCTTGCGAGAACAAACATGGGGGGTACGATGAAAAGCTAGATTTGATGACTTGTGTACCTCTGCGTCTGCCACAGCACCCGGCACCACTGCTGGCGCATTCATCCCGCTTCCACGCGGGCCATCATCTCCCGCGCTGGCGCCCCTCCGCCTCGACGCTTCAACCTCCGCCAGAAATTTCACTTCCAAGGCTTTCAAGAACTTCTGGTAGGAAATCAAGCCTTCCACGTTTTCAAAATCCTCCACTGGGGTGAACGCCACCATGGTTCGCAGGTCGAACTCGGATATGGAATGGTCTACTTCGGGATGATGATGATGCTTTTTGTCATGCGAAGAAGACAAACCATAACCAGCGTCACCTTTGTCTTGTTCCTCCAGCAATCTTGCGTTCAACAGTTGAAACACCTCGGTGAACAGATTATCCTGTACAAAAGTTGCATCGCACTCGTACTGCAATCATGCATATACAAATCTTTTCCCTAAGGTAAATCAGCATTACAGATTTTCTTTCTCGCCATGCTGAGAAAATTTGTCTATGCGTATGCATTTATACGAGTGCGATGCTTTTGCACTGCATACGGAAGCAAACCTGAAGATTCCTCATCCGCCGCGTCGAAGGTTTTTTGGAGGATGTACTGGAGATTGTTTTTGCGGCTGGACGATTTGATGGTCGTGGATTTATTGCCACCCGGCGAGGAAGCGGAAGAAGTAGTACGTGGCTTGTTCTTGCCGCTGTGGTCGTCTTTCAAATTATCTCCTTGTTTCGCGGAACAATGCGAGTTGTCCTCATCTTCGCCTGCGCTTGTCAACAGAGTGGGGGCCGCTCCTGCTACTGCACGACCGGTCCCTGAACTCGCTGCCAACGTTCCGTCGACTGCGGCAGACAGCAGTTTTCCTCTTTCACCATTCTGCTGTTTCAACGTCAAAGCCTCCCTCGTTCGCGATTCCTCAAATTTCGTGGTTAAAACAGCGTCTTTCTTCACTCCAAAAGCCGGAAAAGCCTTCGCATTTATCATCCTCCTTTTCCCCCCGACCGCCGTGAAAGCCCGCTCGACGATCTGATCCCGTTCTTGTAGAGCGAGCTGAATCCGGTTTTTCACAAACCGCGCGGAACTCGGCCTGACCGCTTTCAACACCGTTTGGTCCTGTTCGAAAGAGAAGGTGATAGTACTGTCTGACACAGGAGATTTTTCCGCAGTTTCTGCTGCTGGTGCGGAAGTTCCTTCAGATGAAACAGTCCCTGCTGACACCCGATCCTGTTGTGGTGCAGAGATAATTCTTGCGTCGTCCTCTACTTGTTGTTCATCCACTTTATTCACGTAGAAGTGCACCTTGATCACCTTTTCGGGGATTGGTTTTTTGAAATCGTTTGGAACCTGGAAATGGAAGAAAGCTGTGTAGATGTCGATGAGATCATTATCTCCTTGGCCTGCATTTATCTAATGTAAAAATGTCTGGGTCTGCCTGGAAGGTTGGAACTTGTGATGCTTACTTTGCTTGGACTCTAAAAAAATCTGTATTGCATGACCAGCAGGAGGAGTCTAGTTTGTACTACGCGGGGAGGGCATTGGTCATGCGGAGTAGGCATCATGAAGCCAGCAAAAATTTTGTGATGCTAGGTCGTGCATTACAGACGTCCTGGGTCATGCAGAATATGCATGACAAACCCGGCAACATTCCAGACCCAGACATTTTTGCATTTGATAGCATTGTAAGTTCTGTTATTCTTCTTGTTCCCGGACATTTTCGCCGCTTCTTGGTCTTTCAACTCCTTTTCCCTTTCCAACTCCTCTACTTCCAAAACCTGTTTTTGCAAACTTTTGATCTTCTCCTCGTCCAGCAATTGCTGTAAACAGGGCTTGCTGTACTTCCTCGCCGACATCCTGCGGATTTCGGATTGCAGCTCTGCAGTCGCAGAGGCGCGTGCTGGTGGAGGAGCATTTGCATTTCCATTCGATGATGCGGGGCGGACCCCGAATAAATCGGCGGAGACCGAGTTTGTTCCTGCACCTGCACTTGTGAAGGAGGAGCTGCTTGTTTTCCGTGTTGCATTTTTAGAAGAAATCGTATTGTTCACGGCCGCGACGAATCGCCGGCAACCCTGGAATTTGATCTCCTTTTCATCAACGTCGGCTCTGGTCTTGCGGATGCTGTATTCCCAGCAGGGGTCTAGGTTCCAGGTTTTGATGATGGTAGAGATTCTTTCCTCGGTGCTGGTCGTGGCACGTGGACTCGCAGTGGTGTCAGGACCTGCTGCTGGATCGAACACGTGGTCTTCCGATTCCATCTTGCTTTGCGAGCCGGAGGACGCACCTAGAAACTTTATGAAACCGGGAAAAGATTAAAGTGAACGTGGACAAGATTGCTGTTGATCATGATCTCCTTGTACCTGTGCCGTGTACAGCCTCGTTTTTTCCAGCGATGTGAAAAATCCGGCTGAAACACAAATTCCTCGGGCGTCCTCTGTGTGTGTGTCTCTCTCGTATCATGAACAGCACAGACAGCCGCGAACAAGAAACAGCCAAATCGACGATGCTATGCGTCATTTCGGCCGGATAGCGGCCTGACAAGAAAGCGCGGCACGCTAAGTCCGAATCCCGTGAGGAATGTAATTATATGGCCATCGCACTCTGCGGGCAGGTCTGCTCAACATTTGGCATGAGTGCATTTGCAAAACCACACTCACTGCGCCATCGCTGGTTGCTCCTGTCGTGGCCGCGCGAGCACCCCACAGACACTCACACTCGTTTACTTGGTGACGAAGTCCCATGGGCACACTTCCGACAACAGCGTGCGGGAAGCCAAGGAGATGTCGGGCGGCATAAAAACCACACCCCCGGCAACAAACCAGGAACGGGGGGGGGCCGTGCCTTTGCGCGCGGCGGGCGCGGCGCGACGGGCCTGCTACCGAACCAAGGGGGCCGGGCCATGCAATACTTCCCACCCCGACCTCCCCTGCCGGCAGACTGCGAGCACCGGCCGGCACGGGGGCCCTTGCAATCTATCAGCGAAGAGGCGCGGGCGGGCGGCCCGGCCAAAGAAGCCAGAGGGGGCCAGCGCGCGCGCCGGCCAAGGCATCGCTTCGGCTCGCGGCGGCGTCCACGCTTCTGGAAATTTCTCCTTCAGCCAGGACATGGATCCCGCCGCCCCCCTGCTGGGAGAGGCTATCTCCCGCAGACGAAAGCGAGAGAACATGTGGGCCGCGCGCGGCCTCTTCCTTGAATGCAGCTCGCTGCTGCAATGAAAGAAAAAAGCGCGCGCGGCGCCATCTTTTCACTCTCATGACCCAAGCAGGCTGCCGACGCCGGAATCCCAGCCCCATGGTGCGGGTGGCTGAATGACTTGCCCAGTTCTGCTTCTGCCGTGGGCGCCTACAGTGGCATTCTTGTTTTTTTTCGGGTGGATCAACATTTCAGCCAAAAGATGCGTCGAAAGAACACGCACTCTACATCAAACATCATGAAGCCTGGAAGCAGAAACGCACAACTACATCCCTCTATTAATATATTTATAAAACTCGCTCTTCTACTCGTCTGCTCTTTCACTTTCTTTCACACACGGGAAGTAAATCTTCCAGATACACAACATCAGTGAACAATTATTAGAGTCGATCAGCTCATGATCACTCGTACCCAACTGCACGTGATTTGACAAAGAAATGCGGAACACAAGATACATGCGTGCGTGCGTGCCGCACTCCGCAAGCAACCCTCAATCTATTTCGGGCCCATACCTATGACAGCGTCCCTCCCAAACCCGTACAACAGCCCCGCCCGCCCTTGCGCCCGGGGACACATAGACAAGCACCACAGGCCGGCACATGAAAAGGCCGGCATGCTGCTGCGCTTGGCAACACAGATAGGCCGCTCGGCACTACGTTCAAGGCCAAGCGCCGCGCGCAGGCGCGCGTGCGGGGAACGAAGGCTCGAGCCGGCCGGCGCGCCCAGCCGATTCGCGAACGAAACACAAACACCCGCCGGCATGCGCAGGGCCATGAATACACGGTCGCCCCACAATGGGTGGTGGCTGCGCTGCGTGCTGCAAGCATCCGCACGGCAACACCGCAGCAATCCAACCAGGAAAGGGGGCGCGCCCTGCGACGGACGCCGGCCGGAGGCGGCCGGCACCATGGCCGAACCGCAGGGCGGGCCGACTTGCAGCCGCCTGCGCAACAAAAGGCCTGGCCGCCAAAAGCACCCAGGGGCGGCAGGCAGATAGGGGCGGACGGGGCAGCCCGCAGCAATAAACTGGCGGAGCGCGGCGCCTTCTTTCTTCTGGATAGCGAGACGCGCCTCGTCATGGTCATGCGCGCCCGCGCTCGCCTCCGCCCGGGCAGACAGCATGTCGCTGCCTCTTGCTTGGTGCTCGTTCCCGGCGCGCGCCGATGTCGTGCGCCACCCCCAATCGCCTTCCGGGCCCGGCCTGCCAGCGGTCGTGGCTAAGCCGAAACGGTGGCAACACTGCTGCCGGGCCTGCTGTCGCTCGCCAAGCTGGTTCTGGCAAAAGCAATCCGGCGCAACCTTTGTCGCCTGCGTACGTAACCATACCCACCAACGATGCTCCGTCGGAAACGCGCGGCTTCTAGTTACAAGAACGCACCACTCACATTGCAATAGAAGTGGCCTCCAGATGAAAAAGCCAGCCAAACGCGCGGGCGTAACCCTTGACGGGGTACCCTCCTCGCTCCGGACTTTAACCGCGCTCGCCTCACGTGATATTTTTCAACCGAACAAATTATTCGGCTTCGCATGTCGGCTGAAAGGCCACACGCGCACAGAAACCGCCTGACGTACCACTCACAGAGTCTCATGTCTCTGACCACGTTCAATTGGAGCAATTGCGTTCGCTCAGCCACTCTCAAAGCGGAGGCGCAGCTGTCGTGCCGCAAAAAAGATCGCTCCCAACATCACTCAACAAATATGCGCCCGCATCTTGAACAAACACAGAGCGAACAGCATTGAGAGCTTGAGTATATCGGTCAAAAGCTCCACCACGACGGGCGAGGCAGCGGGATCGCTGTGAAGCTTTGCTGGAAGATGAACACGAATCTCTTGGACCGCGCAGAGGTCGTAACCGAAAGTCCTGATTCCGGCATATCAAATACAAAAATAAGCAGCCTCTGGTCCTGTGTGTCTGGTTACAGCTGCTCTCATTATCGCACGTCGTTGTTCTGCTTTCTGTTTTGTCCAGCGGGTTCTTTTATTTCAGTTACTTTTAATATTCATCCTTAGGAGCGAGAGTCTCCTGCAGTAGTATATCTAGCTGTGCGACCGAACAAACTGCACGGAAACACACACAACTGTAGCATCCTTTCCCGCGGCCTCTGGTGAAAATCTGGCACCGAAAAATCGCACTCGGTACCACGCTTCGATCTAGGTTTCAATCTATCTGTTTAAGCATTGATGTTTTCGCAATATAGGAGGAGCATAGCCTTGAGTAAGTACAGGTACAATCGAAGTTCATCTAGTATCTGATCGCAACTTCAACACTGTTGCTAAAGCTTCTGTCGGTTTCTGCTAGCAATCTCGTTTTGGTTTATTCGAGGTTTCATCTTGTCTGCAAATTTCAATAACATAAATGGCAATTGGTATTCTATATTGGTTCTCTGGTTCATCTTTGTACTCATGATCTGCTGTACTGGTTTTGGTTTTATTTTGTCCTAATTTCAGAGGGTCTGGATTTATTTTATCTCTGATTTTCGACTACATATCAAACTTCTAGCCGCACATCATCAACAGCGTCATTTCCGTCCCTACTGCGGTGGATCCTCGTCCCCGCCATCAGACGGCGCCTCCTCCTCTTCCGGATTGGGTTCTGGGTTCTCGGTCTGATCCTCCGGCTCCGTCATGACTGGCGGCAACCCGAGCATGGTAGCGCCGGCGAAGGTATGAACTGCAAAACAAGTATCGTACTCGTATAAATGCATATACAAATATATTTGTATTTCTCAGCATGAGAGATAAAATAAAAATTTGTAATGCGGATTCACTTTATAGAAAGAGATTTGTAATGCATGACTGCAGCACGAGTACGATACTTTTGCACAGGATAGAAGGGGACTAGGATCGGCAGGGCGGTTTCCTTCTTCACACCATAGCCGATCTGATGATATGGATAATTTGGCAGTGTAGGCATGACCGAATCATCTTCCGATAGCTGCGTAACGATAGTGCGTTTCTAGAATGCATGACAAATAATCTCAACTGGAAAAGCTGCGATCATTCCTCCATCAACCGGAGACCGCATGACAAAAGGCTAGCAATCCAATACATAGACGTTGTAGACGCTGGATCCCTGCGCGACGGTAAACGCACCGGGCCATCTCTTGGACTGGACAATTGTTACCGTGTATTGCCTTGTGACGTCGTTGAAGGAGTACCTGATTAGAGGTTTTCGAAGGAATTTCTGCATGACAGGACTCAGCCTACTTTCATGACACGCATGTTGGCAAATCCTCTTCTATGATCACGAAATTGACCCGAAATCGCACCTAGTGGTAGTAGTGCTGCTATTTCACTTTCTGCATCACAAATAATTTTTCCAAAAAGTAGAAACAGAAAGAGAGACTTTAATTATTACGTTGATTTGTCCCCAACTTGCTTGATGCTCCAGGCCAGGGAGTTTCCTTCGTCGTCCTGCTCTAAATCACCCTGGATTGGCGTCAGCAGCGGAATCACTGGGCACTCTTCCATTTCCGCGTTCGTTATGAGGTTGAAAAAGCTAATTGTTTGTCATGCAAACCGCTGCATTTCAGACGAGACTGTGATGCCCGGCATTAGCATGACAAACTTAAACTTTTCTTTTTCATTGTCGTACCCAATGCTGCTTTTACGTCCTCTTCCATCGCCTCCTGTTCCTCGGCGGATGGGTAGGCGGTTTTACCTGTGAGAATATTGTTGCTTTGATATACTTTGTCTTGCGGAGACTGCAATTTGAATCATGGTTGTCATGCAGGTCGCACAGCAAGTACGTAGAAGTGCGAGGAGTTTCCTCAAAAATAACGTTATACCGTTCTTCAGTATGTAGTCCGAGCTGTGCACCCAGGTTCCCTGGCTCCCTAACTCCTCTACTGAGGGGAAGGCAAAGTCTTCCGCCTGCACCATCTTTCCTGATTCGTCGTCCATAGCGTGGTATGCATTGCAAAATCATCGTACTAGTATCAATCGCATGACAAATTTCCGCAGAATGTAAAATGGAATTTGTCATGCTGATTTACCTTTGGAATCCGATTTGTCATGCGTATCTGCGATTACTACGAGTACGATGCTTTTGCATTTGATACGTAATACCCGTTTACGTGGAGTGTGCAGGAGTGGCCGATTCGTGCGATTTGCGCTCGCAGGAGGGAGATTTCCTTGCCGCCGAACCACTGGGTTTTGATTGTGGGTGTTCTTTTGTCTTGCTGAAAAATGCATGACAGGATCAAACACCATTGGAAAAAATGCATGAGAAATCTAGCTCATCAATATCTCCAACCACTACCTTCCACGTGTAGAAAAATTATACCGGGCACGCGATGATCTCCTTGTTCAAATCCCCGGAGAGGTATTTCTGGATTGATCTTGACTTCTGGATTTGTGCGGTGGTAACGTGTATCAAATGTAAAAATGTCTGGGTCTGGAAGATTTCCTGGTTTGTCATGCATATTTTGCATGACCCATCATGCCTGTAGTGCATGACTTAGCATGGCAGATTTTTGAAAGGCTTCCTGATGCCTCTTCCGCATGACAAATGCCCTCTGCACGTAGCACAATCTGGGCTCCTCTTGCTGGTCATGCGATACAGATTTTTTTAGAATCCAAAGACAGCATGACAAGTTTGGATCCTTCCGGACCCAGACATTTTTACATTTGATAACGTCTGGGAGCTGCGTGAGGTCGCCCATGGGCTCGTTTTGGACCTGATTTAAACTTTGTCATGTGAAGTATCACCCTCTTGCTTGAAATTAAAATTCTACCTTGCATGATCTGCTTGTCAACATGAACATACAAATGCAGGAAACAGCACAAGAAGTTGCAAGAAAAAAACTCCTTCTGTACGAAGTAGGTAAATTTGTTCGCCCCGGTCCCTCGGCCCTCGTAGCTGTCTGTTGAGTGGCCTTCGCCGGCGATTTTTGCTTCATAGACAATGTAGTCCTTCTCTGTGCCCAACATTTTACCCCAGAACCTGAGTGGCAATCATGAATATTAAATGTTTTTCTTGCGCTCGCCGCCAATGCTTGCATGACAGAACCATTTTCTTTGTCTAGCAACTACATCACACATTCAAAAAACATCTCCACAAACCCACTTCTATATCACCTGACGCTCTCCACACCGGCTTTCCTGCCCAATTCCGCTAGTCTGAGGCTAATTTGGTATGACTCCTGCTTGCTAAAGCCCAAACCGGCCCATCTCATGCTACTTGACTGGGCCATGAAATCCATGGCGCCACTGAGGGGAGCGAGAGTTGAAAGTTTTTCGCGGTTTTCTGAATTTCGGTTTGTATGACAGTGAAATCATGATGCATGCATGTTGAGCATGAGAAAACTGCTGGTGGTAGTAGTTACGAAACAGGTTCTTACTTTGCATCAGAAATGCAACGTTGATAAATGATGATTCATTTTGATTTTCATGTTCACCAATATAGATACCTTTCTTCTTCGCTGCCAGCGCCGGGTTTGGTGTGACGTGCTTTGTGACCTCCGGCCCGCTTGAGGGTCGAAATCGCCCGTACTTCAACTCCATGGAGACTTGCCTGTGGATTTAGGAGTTTTGGTATAATTTGGACAAAACTCATGTAGCGGACAGGACATGATCAAACCGAAACACATCTGTGATGTTTCATATTTTAACAAGATGAAAAACAATGCGAACAGGTTCACAAGTTGTACTCCAGCAGCGCCAAGGCATTTGGGTCGGACTTGTCCACACACGCGCCCACCAACTCGCACAAGTGCTTGTGCAGCGTCGCTCCCTCGTATGAGAGTGCACAACTTCCACTTCCTCTCATTATCATTTGTCTTGCAAAATCGCAATTCCAATTGCTGACTTGCAGCACTGATTGCATGACAGACTCTGGATGCCCAACCAGTACTACAGTCGGCGCAGGAACTTGTCATGCACAACATACACGCGCGCTAGTGTTTGTATTGCTGTCCATGCAATACAAATGAGGGGAGGGAGGAGTTGTGCATTGTCATACCTCGCCCGGCACGTCGGCGTGGAGCTTTGCCGTGAGAACTTCTTCCATCATTTTCTTGTAGCTTGTTCCGTTGCTTCTATAGTCTGAGTTTTACCACGTCGGATAATATTATTTATTAAACACGTAGCTCCTCTCCACCTTGAGCTACCCTTCACGATTTCATTCTTTTGATGGTTAAATCTGATCTACACGTAGACGTACTTGCGGCCGAAATTATATGTGCCAGAGTGGTAAGAGCCGCTTTATGTCGTAGGAGATCACGCCGAAAGGTTTTTCACGGATATTGTGCAATCTATTTCCCAAGTAGATGACATTGTCAACGAATAGAAGATGCCACGCATCCACCCCCTCGAAGGAAGAAGATAATTCTCTCGTCCCGCACTGGCACTAGCGAAGAACCATCTGTCTCTCAGAAACTCTCTTCCCATGTCGCTCTCAACATTTTTTCTGTCGATGATGTAGAAAGCAAAAGCTGTGCGTACAAGTACAGTTACGAAGTCAGTTCAGTTTTGCTTCTGCAACGGTCTTCAGGGCGTCATCCCAGTACGAAAACCTGAACAGAACGTCACGGTTCCTTGGAGAAACCTGTACCAATATCCCCAACAGTTACTTTCAGTGTCGTTTTTTTTTGCGTCGGTTCTGCCTCTTCATTTCCTTTGACATTGAGTTCTCTCGTGGTGTTTTGATGCGAAATTGAAATTCACAGTGGCTGCGCGAAGTATATCGTTCGTGTGGTAAGTCCGTAGCAGTAGTGAGGACCTTAAACTCGGAGAAGTTGAAATCTTTGGCCGATGGCATCGTCAGCTTCACGACAACCTTCCCCCCGCCGGACCCGAATTGCTGTACAGCATCGGCGACAGCTTCGCCGGTGATCCTCCGGCGACCGTCGAGTAGATCGTGTCCTCGTGGTTTACAGACACGGATGCACTCGCACTGCTAGAAGATGAAGCAGCAACACGATCCCCAGCACCCTCGACAAACTCGTCACTGCCCACTCTCGCAGCCCGTACCGGCGAGAATTCTTCGTCTTCATTGAAAAAGTCATATCCTTTGCAAATAAAGCATCGCACTCGTACTAATTGCAGTCATGCATGACAGATATCTGTGTCTAGGTCTACCTTTTTCCGCATGACAAATTCCATTTTTGCTCTTGGAAAAATTTGTCATGCGATTTATACAACTAGTACGATACTTTTGCAATGCATAAGTCACTGTTTTCCACAAAGTGCGTCAGTTTATTCTTGGCCGCAACCGTCATTGTGGCGCAGTTGGTAATGTTGGTGGAAAAGTCGAAGTTCAGCGCGTTGTTTAAAATCTCTTTCGGGCCGTTCCTGGCGAAGAACTGGCGGACAGAGGAGATCAAAGTGGAACCATCCAGATCGTAGGTGGCGTACCTGTTTTTATTGCCGGCGTGTATGTAATGTTGACAAATCGGATTTGCCATGCCCGTTGCAGTTCTACTTCAAGCACGAGGGAAGTTCTTTTCTGATGCAAAACTCCTGACATCAAGATCAAATTCAAAAGTCATCGACTTAGTACTAGTAGCAGAGCAACTTCTCAAAAATTATACGGGTCATATTTCTTCGCCTCCCTTCCATTTTTGTAGGCAAACACCGTTCTCCCGCTTCCCCCGTGCTTCAAAACCGCATGACAGAATTCCTTGAAATGTAGCTCCCGTTTTGGAAATTCCTTGACGAAGACATCGAAGTTCAAGCGGCAGTGTATGGCGTTCTCAACTGTTACACTCTCAACTGTTACATGAATTTGTCATGCAAAAATACCATCATGATCCACACGATGTAGCTGCTTCGCATGGCAAATTTGCGAAGGCCTAAACAGCACCTACAACTGTGTCGAATTTGTAATGCTCCAGCTGCAGCCTCCCCTCTTTGACTTCCGCTATTCTCGCATTACAAATTCGCGCAACAGTTGAGAGTATAACAGTTGAGAACGCCATACAGTAGCGGGAAAACTGGCGCCCAACGTTTCCCTTGCTACGCTTGTCTACCAGGGCGCGGATGGGAATCTGACATCATGTAGTGTCAACATGGCTTAATGTTGGAAAAAAATGTTGCGTACTCGTGGTGACTGCTCTCCCATGGTCGTATATCCGATTCTGCAACACAAAACGCATTCTACTTAAATTTAGACAACACAAAAAATTACCCTGATCCCCAGCTCCTCGTCTGCGGTACTAGCGTAGATCGCGGTTGGCAGCGCAAATGGCTTGCTTCCAGCATTGCTGGCACTTTTCCTCAATTCCAGAAAGGCGATTTTCGCTACTCGTTCGAACAACACTGGCACGTCGATCAGATTGAAGTCGATCTCCTATCAAAGTGAAAAAAGCCCCCACCCCATATCAAAATGGCAATCTCTGTTGCGGGATTTGTGTACACAAATCAGCTTTGTCCTGCAGTAGAGGACTGCAGGCAGATGCAAAGCCTGGAAGGGGCTGGCTAGAGGTGCGCGCTCAGCATGGCAGACGTCTACCTTGTTGGCGCAGCAGCATGACAAACCGCCTGCGTAAAGCGGCGGAAGCTCTGGCTTTGCTCTCTTGCAAGACAGACCTGATCTGTAACCACAAATCAGCATCACAAATTTTCAAAAGGATGCCTTTTCGATATGGGGAGGGGGGATTTTTTCTTACGATATCTCCTCCGCCCGCATGTCTTCCGTGCACCAGATGGCCAAAGCGGCGAGTAACATCAAGCAAAAAAGTGTTAACGTTAACGGTTTTGAGGCAGAGGCATTGCAGTTGTGCATGACAAATTTTTGCTATCATGCATGCTATGCAATACAAATCTAGGCATCATTTCTCGTGCATTCCTGCATGCCAAATTCTTTTAAACGTTAAGACTTTTTCCTGTGATAAGTAACTCCGTACTGTCGACGACGGTAGTGGAGGAAAGGGAATGCAGGAAGGCGAGAACTGTTTTGGTAATATGATCGGCGTAAATTTGTCATGTCATTGTTGCAGCTGATAACGAATTTGTCATGCCAAAACACAAATCAATTATATATATTTATATTACTTTTAACGCAACAGCAAGTACTTTGCTCCCCACGCTGCACCGCCTCACTCCCCCGTTCTATCAAATGCAGATATGTCTGGGTCTGGAACATTCTAAACTTGTGATGCTGTCTCTGGATTGTAAAAGAATTTGTATTGCATGGCCAGCAAGTAGAGGACTTCAGTTTGTGCTACGCGGAGAGGGCATTTCTCATGCAGTAGAGGTATCAGAAAGCCGTCGAAAAATCTGTGATGCTACGGCATGCATCACAGACATCATGGATCATGGAAAATGAGCATGACAAATGTAGAAATCTTCCAGACCCAGACATTTTTGCATTTGATACCTTCGCCGTCGCTGCTATTCTGGTAGAAGCTGTTGAAAGCTCCTGTCGTAGCACTGCTAGTACCTTGCTCCAGTTTGAAAGCAGGAATCAGCCGGCTTTTCAGCAACTCCGCAGCCTTCCTTGCGGTCAAGTACCCCTGAAAGTTGCCATTATTATTTGTGGACGAACACGAAGTAGAATTTGTGTTGCTGGTTCCATTTTTGCCAATAATTGCTGCAGCTCGATTCATCCCTCCCCCGGCGCCGCCACTGTAGTTTCGCGCATTCCAACTTTCCTCACACATCCCCAAAAAGCTCCGCCGCACTTCGTCAAAAACTGAAGGGGAGATCTTGCTCAGCGCAAGAATGATGCCGCAAGTGACTAACCCCACTTCGTAATCGCGATAGGATGCGAAGGACATCGCGCGGAGTTTCGCGAAGTTGATATTCTGCAGCTGCTTGTTCTTTTTCTCTCCCGCTGCCGCGCTCGTGCTCGGACCACCGACGACCATACTCGGGTTGAAATACTCCCGTCCCTTCTCAAAAATCCACTCGTGGTTCAAAGCTTCCGCGATGGTCAGTCGCTTCTTCGGATCGGGCTCGAGCATTTTGCGAAGGAAGTCCCTGCTGGTCATTGTTCTGTGCTCCCAATTTTCTACCGGATCGTCTGCGTAGAACCGGGGTCCTGCTTTCGGCCACCTGCTGTAATCTACTACTACTACTTCCGGGATATTATTTGTACGGCTCGCGCTCGGATCGTAGACTGGTGGTTCTCGTTCTTGTCCGAACATGTACATGTTATCGAAGTCAACAAGCTTGTCGCTATTATCGTTGTTCATCTCGGTAAAATAATTCACCGGTAGCCTCCCGGCCAGCATGAAGTACGCGACCATGCCGATGCCCCAGACGTCGTCCTCCGGCTGGTGTGGGATCTCTTTTACGAGGTCACTGGGGCCGCCTCCGTAAACCCTCATCAATTCTCGTTGCTGTGGCGAAAGGCAGGTAAATTCCTCGTGCGTGAAGTTTGCTTTGACGATGCTCGTGGTGTTTCTTTCCGCTGCGTAGGTGGGACCAGTATGTGGATGAAGATGTTGATCATCCGGCTTTACTACTAGTCTTCGTCCGAGCCCCAAATCTGCTAGCTTCACAACCGCGTCAGGGAGTTTCGAGGTGAGGAGCACCGTGGATGGGGAGATTAAACCGTGGACAGAAGTGCTGTAGCTGTCCTCATGTGAAGAAGATCCCTCCCCCTGCTCCTCTCCCGGTAAAGATGATGATCTCAACGCCGCGACTGCTTGTAACAACTGCCGCACGTACAGTGCGCAGGTTTGCTCGTGCAGGCAGTTGTTGTTTTTGGACTTTGACGTGAGTTTGTGGATGAAGTCCGATAATTCCCCACCCTCACAGTCTTCGTAGATGTATTCGTGTTGCCGCTGGAGTTTGTTCTCAAACTTCTCTATCAGCGTGACCAGGTGCGGATGAGGGTCGTGCAGTTTGATATTTTGCGATGCACAATGCCCCTGAGGATGTTGACCACCGTCTCGTGGCGTAGTCCCCGTCGCAGTGCTGCGGCTGGTGGAGGAGGATGAGCCACCGGCTTCTTCAAGCAGGTCTACCGGCTTTTCGTTTATTTTCTCTGGTAAGTGTAGTTGTTCTCGGACAGTTTTTGCCGGAGAGGCAATAGTAAACGGCACGGTCTTCAGAATAAACCTCTTACAACCCGCGGCGGTCACGACGGCATTACTTCCATCATCCTGTTCTTTCGCCGAAACGGCGAAGACCTTTCCACCGTAGCAATTAGACCCGATTTCGTACTCGACGCAGTAGAAGTCGGCCGCTTTTGCGGAGGCTGGGCGAGGGGTGGAATTTGTGTTGCGTATTCGGGAGGAGGAACTGCTGCTCGAAGAGGAGGAAGTGCCAGTGTAAGGGTTCTTTTGGTTCGACGATAATGCGTCGTCCAGAACGACTGGAGGCGTGACTGCGGTGGTCATGCCGCCGGAAAGATAACGATCCATAGTTTTGGCTCTATTTCCTTGTGGGTGTGGTATCGGCTCCACCAGGAATGCTTTTCGACTGTCGTGTGCAATAAGTATCAACCGGTGGTGACGCTAAGCAAAACATCAAGCAATGTTGCGGCAAAACCCGACACCAAAGGGTTGCATATGAATTTGAATGAATATCGAGCGGAAACAAGCTCATCCTCTCGACACCACGATCGCAAAGATACACGACATGCGAATCCTACAATCACTCGCTGATGTCACCGATGTCGACAGTGACAGAAGGTGATGCAATTTAGCAGAAATCAATCTCTCCACGCCTTCTTCAAACTTCGTGAGAACTACGTACTTTCCAACTACATCATGAGAGAAGAAGCACGAAGATCTGGTGAGGAACACTAACACGCATCCGCTTCATAGCACACCTCGGCCCCACTTTACTTTTCATTTGGCCAGGTCATCTGTGTTGGATTGTGTGGTTGCTGCAATGAACGTACATATTAGAGTACTGTTCGTAGTTCGCTACCATATGATCGCTGTGCGCCTCATCAACAAACATGATGTGAAGGAGATGACCTTTCAACATCATTCTCACTTGAACCCGAACCTTTCCACGAGTTTTTGCTCACTCGCCAAGTCCCACAGCGCCACCGTGTGACCGGATAACAGAAACATCGAATCCGAATTGTCCTTCGACACGGGGCCGGCAGAAGCGAAAATCGGCCCCACGTTCATCTGTTTCGAGAAAACTTCTTGATGAGTTGTGTGTCCCGCGTTCTGCTCAATGTCGCGTAAATCGTAGACCTTCGCGGTTCCCTCAATTCCGCCGACAAGGAGCACGTTGTTGCGCTGCGCAAGCGCGGAGCAGGCGCCCTGTTCGTTGTTGTTAGGTTCATTTTTTGCTCGTGCATTTTCAAATTCGCATTACAAATTTTATCGAATATAATGATTTTCACTATACTATACCTTCTGAAAAGCGTCCAACACCCACATGGGGGAGCAGTTGTCCTATGAATTGCAAAAGTATCGCAATCGCATTACAAATTTCCATTTCCTCAGCATGAGAAAGAAAATTTGTAATGCGGATTTACCGTAAGAAAAAGATTTGCAATGCAAGACTTGCTATACCTTCTGGAAAGCGTCCAACACCCACATCGGGGAGCAATTATCCCCGTCTTTCACGATCATTCTCGCGTCGTAGCAGTACACCTTTCCGTCTTCTGTCGTGACGTAGCAGATGTTTTCGTTTTCGTTGTTCCAGCAAGCTTGCTCCGCGTCCGCGGACAATTGCATCTTCACCGCGTGCTTTTCCGATTTTCTCACATCCAGAAGGCAAAGCTTCTTGTCATAGCCCGCGGTTAAGAGAACCGACTGCTCCGTCGGGTGCCACTTCGCGCATTGGACCTGATAAAAGTGTGTTTGCACGAGATGAAGAAAATAATTGTGAGCAGTTTCTCATGCAATTCTGCAATAAAAGTGGATAACCTAAACCCTGAAACCTAAACAAAACCCTTCTGGATCGAACTTGTGCAGCACGAGAAGGCGTATCGAAGGCGAGACGGACGCGTCGACAGTCATCCCGTGCCGGCTGCGGTGGCGGCCTACCTAAGCCTAAACCTAGGGGAAAAAAAGCTGCTTGGTGCCAGTTGGGCCCGGGGAACAAGAGGCAACACAAAAAAGGAGGATTTTAGTAAACGATTTCAAAAGGATAAAAGGCAGAGCAAACTGAAGGCCAGGGCGTGCACGCCCTTTTCTTCTTAAGCTTCAGCAGTGCTGAGAACGTTCCGACCCTAAGCCTCTAAGTGCCGAGGCACCAGGAGATCTACGTACGTATGCGCAAGAAAGCTCGCCTGACTAGCTTAAAACGGTCGAAAAAACGAGGACAAAACTCTCGGGGAAACCGAGAAGGCCCTCATATCGACCAGACTCAGGCGAGAAAGCTCAGGCGAGAATGCAATTCTGCAATAAAAAGAATGGCGAGCTACTCTCTGCCCGGCGACGCGTGAAGTACTACATCGACTCCTGCAGAAGTAAGTACTACAATGGCGCGCTGGCGCAGCAGCGGCCAGGAGTCCAGTATGAGTATTTATATTTCGCGCTCGCAACAGCACATTGGATTGTGTCGTTTACAAACTAAATCCTCCAAAATATCAATCTACCTTGTCCTCGTGGTGCTTGAATGTGTGCACGCAGGCAGCCTTCTCCAAGTCCCAAATCTTCACGCAATTATCTGCCCCGCCGGAGCAAAGCAGATTTCTCTCTGTCATGTGTTATCCAGGAAAAAACACCCATCCACATCCAATTTGTCATGCAAAACATACATAAAATCCTGTGTTTGTCATGCAAAAAATGGATGTGGATGGGTTTTTTTTTGTGGATATGTGTGTATTCAGACACATGACCGCACCCGTGTGACCTCCCAAGCTTCCGGCGTCCGCGCTGGTTTTCTTGTTCTTCTTCGACTTTTTCCCTGTCACCCCCGACGAGGTCGCACTTCCGCCCAACGTCAAAACCGGCGCCATGGGCTCTAGGACGTCTAAGTCCCAAATGTCAATGTTGTTGTCAAACTGGCCCACGGCAGCTAAATTGGTGTACACCCGGTCTTGAAGCCCGTAGTTGCCATTTTTATTGCTGAAATTGGTCACCGTGTCGACGCACAAGGGGTAGGCGTTCAGGGTCAAGTCGTGGTGCACGTACATCGCTCCCTCCTCCTCGTCGTAGACGAAAACCTCCAATGTGCACTCGTCGTCTTCACAACTACACGCGACGAAGCAATTATCCGTCGGCTTGATGATGTTATCCTCCTCATCTTCGGATTCGGATTCCTGCTGCTCCGCGGTCAAAAGTGGGTCGGACAGTGCCGCTTCGTGATCCGTGATGTTATTTGTGGTAAATGCGTTCATGGGGAGGTTGGTTCGTTTCGGGTTCCCTTCTGCGTCCTCATCGGAGGAGTAATCGATCATTTCATCTTCGTCGTTCTTGCTGTCGTTTTTACTGCTTGATGTTTTAATATTACCAGTCTTCTTCTCGTCCTTTACTTTCGCCGAAGCAGCTGCTTTTTTAACATCGCCATTGTTCTCTGCTGGTGCCTCCTCTTCATCAGGAGAGCTCTCCTCATCTCCGTCTTCCTCGGCCAATGTGGAATCCAAATCCATATCAATGTCGTCTTCTCCATCAGCGCCGGCGCCTTCCGGGACCTCAATATCTCCTTCGATCCCATACTGCTCCTCTAACGCTTTCAGCTCGGCGTCGGTCGCCTCCCATCGTTCCGGGCGCTTTTTGGAACGGCCCTTTGGGATCCACACTAGGGAGGTAACCGCACAGGACATGATTTAAGTATAAGTAGTTCGTGTTCTACTTGTTCTAGAATTTTTGCGTTCTCTACTGCGGTCGAAAATCTACTAAGTTGCAACTTCTTCTGGTCTGCTGCTTGTACTTCTACAGAGAGATGTGTACTAGTGATAGAAATGGACAGAAGTAGACGAATACGAAAGCTACTGCAAAAATGCTCTTCACTGTTGCGGTCGCTATCAAAGGAGAGTCTTCGCAAGGTGGTAGTTCTTGTAGAAGTAGAACCACAATACACGTTCGCCGTCCTGTCGAAGTCAAGAAATAAGCGCGATCGGCGGGGGATGGAAAATTCAAATGTGAGGTCTCCATCACACGCGATTACAATAATTACATCTTCAATTCTCGTGGTCGGATCACACCTCCAGCTTTCTTGATCCTCGCAGGCATCTTTTGTTCTGATCTACTTCCAATATTCATTGATCCATAGGAGCAGCTGCTGGTGAAAGAACTCTTTATGTAGTAATTGCACCTCGAGCTTGTAGCTGGGCCGTCGTCGTCATTACAAATAATTTTCAACATGATCTCACGACACGCATTGATCTTGATTGCAGATTCCTTCTGCCACAGATCATTTCACGTAAAAAGATGGTGCTGGATCAGATTTTATTTCTTGATGGCAGAGTGAGGACTTGCCCCAGAGATCATTTGGTGAGGATATTTTTGAATTTCAAAAGTCGCTCGGCAGCTGGCTTGGACAACAAGCTGAAATAACAAGTAAATTTCAAACAGAAAGAAGGCAAAGGCAACTGCGGTGCCAGAATCTTTCTGATCCAGCTGAGTGGACACGTAGTTTTTTCAACCTGTGTGATGTAGTTGGGTTCAGGTTCTGGGGGGGGAGCAGAACTTTTCTTAGTCCAGGCTCTTGTACAGTAAAACAGTCTCCACCTCATCGTGACGGGATTGCGTCACCAGGATCCTTCGCTTCTTCGTGAAAATGAAATTGGCCACCACCAGAACGGGCTACGAACTTTGATCTTGATGGCCACTTATCGGGGAAACAATAATCAAATACAAATATGCTGAAATAAGCAAAAATAAGGGGGCACTCACTTACACTTAGTTCTTGTATTCGGGACGATAATTGGGGTTAGGTTATGGCTTACGGGGTCATCATGCACTCTTTCTTCACGGCGACCTGCTGGGGACGTCGATCCGAATTTTTTTTTTAGGTACTACATATTGATGTTCAGGAAGGAGGGGGGCACATCCACATACGCTTTATTCTTCGGAGTTCTTGTTCCCGGTTTGAAAGAACGAAGGGTCGGAGCGTTGTCGTACTGATACGCCTTCGTGTTGGTGGTGATGGAAGCGCGAAAAATATAAAAAAAGTAGGGTTCTTGGGGTTATCTAGTTGCTGTCAGGTGATTGTACTTATACGTGAAAAACTCTTGGTTGCTTTATCTTTTTCGTAAATAAAATGATCATGATGGAAGAAAAACAATAAAAACGGAAAAGCCTCAAACTGCTTGGTTATGCTATACTTAGATCAAATAAAAAAAAATTGATGCCAAAACCGTGCAATGGATGTTTTACATGGAAGACGAACTACGAAAAAACTTGATGTTTATCATGCGCAATTTCTCTTCATCTGGAAACGGTAAAATTGTGAACTCAAATAAAAATACAAAAAGACGAATGCAGCGCTTGTTTTTCATGTGAACAATGTCATTTAAAAATATAGCTCCATTTAGGATTACTTGCTATACGTACTCGGTTCGAAAAAAAACGGCACAATGAAAGTGAAATGCAGGGTGGTATTTAATGTAGACCACAGTAGAATTTTTGGGGGCTCTGAAAGCCAATCAAATTGAGAAATGAAATCTCTGCGGAAACAACAGGCAGAGGCAACAACTCATCTTCACCGCCCATCGGTCGCGAGCCTAGCGCCTGCCCTCGCCTTTTGCGCTTGTCCCGCCATTGTCGCTGTTTCCGGCGCCAGGTAGTTTTGGCTTATCGTCATCCCCCGCGTCGTATGAAATGCAAAAGCATCGTACTAGTATAAATTGCATTACAGACTTCCTTAACATGACAGATAAAATTTGTAATGCTGTTGTAGCCAAGGAAGGCGATTTGTCATGCATGTCTGCAATTAGTACGAGTACGATACTTTTGCACAGCATACGTCGCTACCCGCCCCAGACGCGTTCGCACGACCACCCGGCGGCCGTCCATCGTCCCCGTCTTGGCTGTTTATGGCGTTCTCAACTGTTACATTCTCAACTGTTACATGAATTTGTGATGCAAGAATGGTAAAAGTGAAAGGAAGGACCTTGCGCGTCTTGCGTGACAGATTTGGCACAGATTCTCAGCCTGTTTGGCCGTCTGGGAATTTGTCATGCGAGGCAGCTCGATGGCGTTGATAGTCAAGGCCATTTTGCATGACAAATCATGTAACAGTTGAGAATGTAACAGTTGAGAGCGCCATACTGTTGTTGCTGGCCGTGTGGTCGTGGGATGAAGTAGAATGCTCTACTTCGTCAGAAGGGTGCGCCGTTTCGGCGTCAGGCTCAGCCTCGTCGTCGTCATGAATCATCTCAACCGGAAACTCAGGCTCCTCGAGGAGCTGAGGGGGTTGTGGGCCGCCCTGCTCCGGCAACAAGACATCTTCTTGTTCACGCTCAGCCTCAGGCTCGTCCTTGTTGTAAGTAGGAAGCTGAGGAGATTGCACGTTTCCGGCGTTTTCCGGCGTTTGCAAGTTTTCTTTGATGGTGTCCAGAATCAAGTCCGCCAATTTTTCGCCCCCCAGGACACTGGGCTCCACACGGTTTGCGTACATCAGCGAGTTCGTCCCGTCCAGAGCCCGCGACAGCTCCAGGGGAACCACTTTCCCCGCGTTCGGGATTTGCAGCTGCTTCAGGGCGTGTTCGAAAAGCGCGTGCTGCACCACCTTCATGCGCCGCTTGTTTTCCGGGTTGCCAATGAGGCCCAGCGCTTGGAACCCCATTTCCCACCACGAAAATGCTTCGTCATTCTCATCCAGGTGGTAGAGCATGCATACCACCACCATCTTGCACGTCGAGTCCCCGAGAACAGTGTTGATGTACCGTTCCGTGTCCTCCTTGTAAATATGGGAAAAGTTTTCGACCGCCAACTGGGTCAGCTTTTCATCCGTCGTGCCCTCTTGCAGGACCCACGCCGCTTGCTGCACGTGGAGAAACGCCATGTCGTTATGCCCCACGGAGACCAACAGAATATCATGCGGCTTGAGGTGGTTCGAAACAAACTTGTCCTGGGGAAGCAGCCCCGATGCGCGGCTCGAAAGCGTCGACTCTTCGACGGCGGAGTTCACGAACAGCAACTGTGGGTACGGGTGCTCTTGCACCAGCGCGTCCTCCTCCTTCTGCTCGAACGATTTGGATTCTGCGGCCTTCCGGTTGAGCCAGTAGCAGACGTCTTTGACCATCCGCCCGCTCGCACCCAACACCTTCTCGTAGCCGTTGACAGCCGGGGCAGTGAACGAGCCGTCGGCCAGGCTGGCTTTGTCTTTCTCTCCTTTCTCGTTTTTCGCGGGGTACAGCCAGTGCTTGTTGTCGAGAGAGCTATCCCCCAACAGGAACACGATGCTCGTATCGGGACAGGAATTGGGACTGGTTGCTGGCGGCTCGTGACACTGTGTGAAAAGTAGGTCGACCACAGTCTCGAGGTGCGAGATTTTGTGACCGCGATACTCGTCGTAGAAGTCCACATCGTTGATCGCAGTAGTATCAAGTGCAAAAATGTCTGGGTCTGGAAGTAATTGTAATGCTGTCTCTGGATTCTGAAAAAACTTTTATTGCATGACCAGCAACAAGAGGACTCCAGTTTGAGCTACGCGGAGAGGGCGTTTCTCATGCGGTAGAGGTATGATCACAAAGTGCTCTAAAAGTCTGTGATGCTCCGGCATGCATCACAGACACAGACATCATGGGTCATGGAAAATTATATGCATGACAAATCTAGAAATCTTCCAGACCCAGACATTTTTGCATTTGATATGGTGGTGGTACGCCCCATTCGCGATCGTCCTCGTCCGGGATCAAGATGGGGTCACGATCCGGGGAGAAGTTCGGGTCGTGGTCCTCGTAAAAATCTTCGTCGTGGTGATCGTAATCTTCGTCGTGGTGATCGTCATCTTCGTCGTGGTGATCGTCATCTTCGTCGTGGTGATCGT